AATGGCTATCAAAACTCCATAACGAGCCTCTTCGATGCCCATCTTCCTCTTGAAGTAGATTGGTGCTGCCAGGAGCAGAGTGTCTCATTGTCATGAAAAGTCCTCAGTTATTAAAACATTAAATGTCCTATTCTGTAATCTTTGAAAGACATGAAGAATGTCTATCTAACTGAAATACATCTCTATATATCTAGAAAATCTAACTAACATGACTACAAGCTTTACTATTATCGATGATTATCCATTAACAACCTATATTTCTTAATTATACAGTACATATTTAAATGAACTACACAATCACAATACCTTAATCAAAATCAGAAACACTTATACATATAACAAAATTGACCTTAAATCTCTATCAATAAAGCAAAATCTATACTAATGCAAATTATTCATATCTATATCATATCCCCCTTTAAATGTAAAAGAACATTTATAAACCATATTTGGGAACATGGGCGCAGTTTTTTCTCTCCAAACTGCTTCCTGCTGAATGGGGGCGTCGTTAATTAGGTCTTTCATGGTATAACCTGTGTGCTAGTTTCATCTCAGTTGGCAGTTGAGCGAAGCAATGTTCTGAAGGTGTTCACACCAACCCTTCAGGAGGGCGTGGTCCATCATACCAAATCGGAGTAGAAGAAATGAACAGCGTCTCATCCTCTGTGAAAACAAAATAAGAAACTCCTTTCCAAAGCATCATGTCCTTAGATCCAAATTTCAAATTCAAGGCATCAAAATATCTATGTTGGGTTAGCTCAGCAGCATTTATAAATAAATATCTTTTAGCATCTGTTGCTCCTTCCTCAGCATTTAAATAATTCAAAGAGAGCATAATAGCATACATTATCAAAATTCTCTGTCTATTTTCCATCTTTGTGCAGCTTTGTTTTAACCTCTATTTTGTTTATTTTTAATTTTAACTCTTTGCTTTTTGAGACAGGTTCTCTGTATCTTTGACCTGATATAACTCTGTAAACCAGGCTGTCTTTGAACTCTCAGAGATCCGCCTGTCTCTGCCTCCCAGGCATTCGGGATTAAAGGTGTAAGCTACTCCACCTTGAACTCACAGAGATCTGTTTGCCTCTGCCTTCTAGGCACTGGGATTAAAGGCGTGTGCTACCACACACAACAACTCTCTTCCTTTTTTTGTTTTTTACTTTACGAACTTCAACTTTTAGTCTGCATATATTTTTAACACACTTCAAACCATTTAGAAATTTTCTTTGTCTTTGAATCTCTCTTTACTGTATATCTCTCTTTTTCTGACCACACGAGTCTTTAATTTACCAAGCAATATCAGTAGGATTAAAGGCGTGGCTTTGCCAGCTAGATCCAGTCCATTCCTTAGCTTTCCAGCCTCATGGCTGAGGTACTGGCTGTAGCCAGCAAGCGAGCTTCAGCAGCCTGTGCTAGCAAACCGCACAAACCGCTTGCGTAAAAGAGTCAGAGTTTGTCCTGGCAGGACAGCCCAGAAAGCCGCATTTTTAAATGGCGCAGCTTTCTTCCTGCTACGGCTGAAAACCGAAACGCATGCGTTCAGCTTTTTGTCAACACCGTTTAAGTGTTTCGTGGCAGGACCTCTTTATGAGCTGCAGGCTTTGCAGCTAAAGCTGAGTCAGGAAGCCTCTCTTAGATGAAGCGCTTGCTTGCCTCTAACAAGCAGAGCAGACCAGAGAACACAGCGAGTCTAGTTGCCATCAAACAAATCGTAGCACTTTACTCCAAATGCTCTATTCAAAAGCTCTGTCTCCCGCAGGAGCCAGAGATCGCAATGGCGGCACAGCCCCAGGAAGTCGCGCTTTAGAATGACACAGCCTTTTGTCTGCTACTGTTGCCGAATCAGGAAATCTCTCTACAGCACACCACCAACAAATAGCAAAAATCTGTGTTAAACTCTCTCTCCCTTATTTTTAAGTCTTCTCAGGTTTTTTAAGTGGATTTAGTCCATCACGTGGGGCACCATATGAAGTAATAAGGGTGGCGGGGCTGCGTTCCCAGCACCCTGGCCGCCTGCTCGGCTAGCTTATGCCCCGAAATAACAACACACAAACTGTATTCATTTAATCACTGCTTGGCCCTTTAGCCCTAGCCCTTACTGGCTAATTCTCACATCCCGATCAACCCATCTCTAATAATCTGTGAGCACCGGTCTTACCGGAAAGATTCTAGCCTAGTCCATCCTGGGTCGGAGCTTCATGCCGGGAGCCGGGCATGGCGTCTCTCTCAGGCGTCTGCTCCTGAGAGGAAAGCTGTCGAGACTGAGCTCACTTCCTCTTCCTCCCAGCGTCCTGTTCTGCCTACTCCTCCCACCTATCCTCTAACCAATAAAATGGGCCAGGGCAGTGCCTTTATTAGCCAATGACCTTCCTCCATCACACAGGTGTAGGAGAACTAATCTTATAAATCTGTTTTACAGTCAGGCAGTGGTGGCCTTTAATCCCAGCACTCAGGGAGGCAGAGGCAGGGATCTCTGTGAGTTCAAGGCCAGCTTGAGGACAAAATGATGTATGACCTTGAGTCATACATGACCATCATGGTCTTAACCTCTTTGCTCATATTCTCACTCCTCCCACTCTTCAGCTGGACTTTGGCAGCTCAGTCCAGTGCTCCCATGTGGGTCTCTGTCTCTGTTTCCATCAGTTGCTGGATGAAGGTTCTATCGTGATACTTAAGATATTCATCAGTCTGACTACAGGGCAATGCAAAAGGGAATTCTTTACTATGTGCCTCCAAAATCCTATAAATATCATCCAAGCCTCCTTTGAGAAGCTCATCTCAGTGTGGAGAGCAGATTTACTTCTACTCTGTCTTGAAGCATCTTTGGTGTTGTTTTTTTTAATAAATCCAACCTTGCTTCTTAATGCCTTCCCCAAAATTATTTCCTTTATCAAAGCTACAAATCTGATTTTCCCAAATTGAAAGGGAACTTTTTAAGCCACTGGGGAGAATGGAGCGGAGTTTTGACCCAGTTCCTAATGTTGAAGACATTATTTTGTATTCTGCAGAAGGGGATGGCTCCATCTGGAATGTTAGGGAAAACTACAAGTTTCTCATGTGTTGACGTGAGGATGCTGGCACTGAAAGGAAGCTAGAGCATGAAGATCACAAAGCCCAGACTGAAGGAGAGAAATAAGAGGCTTCTGGTTGACGATGAGAGAACCACACTAACAGATGAGAGGAAAGATGGCGACCTGATCTGCTCCCTCCCTACCCTGAAGCTCTTGAGGGGCAGGGAAGGCACAGCTGTCCTCTGATGTATTCTTCCAATGCAGCTAGTTATAACCTCCATCTTGTTCTGGAAGGAGACCCCAGTTCATCTCACAATGAGTTAGCTAAAAACAGCTGTGGCTACTTCTTGACATCTGTGAGAACAGAGAGAGCTTGGCATAAGAAACAGGGGTGTTGCCTGGTGTTGGTGGCACACGCCTTTAATCCCAGTACTCAGGAGTGGGAAGCAGGGGATCTCTGTAAGTTCTAGGCCAGCTTGGTCTACAAAGTGAGTTCCAGAACAGCCAGTGAGTGTGGTTACGTAGAGAAACCCTGTCTCAAAAAAACTCAAAACCAACCAACCAACCAAAACAACACCTAACAAAAAACCCCAAAAACAAACCAAATAAACAAACAAAAACCAGTTCTCTACCACTTCTAATCAGGTGGTCAGTGCTTCCCTGGCAGGAGATCAGGAACTCCGGCTCAGTTTGACTTTTTGCATCACCGAGTTGCCAGAATGTTAGTTGCAGTCTGGCACAACTAGAGGGAGAAAGGGTGTGTTACTCTCCAACACCCGAAACAATCAGATTTCCAGAAAACGTAAGAATCTCACATTTCCTGGGAGAAACGTGGATGTTGAGTCCAGAGTTAAAAGGTACTATGTACTTTAAATTTCTACTGTGAAATGCCCCATTGTGTAATACTATCACCAAGTCAAAAAAACTGAGTGGATATACTTTAGAAAAATGCCAAACACTCTGACGAAAGCTTTCGCTGAAAAATTTCTACCAGCCTTAAAATCACAAAAAAGAAAGCAATGCTGCCAGAAGGGGACTTTACAGAAGATTAGGCAAAGCCCCTGATTGCTTTACTAATTACAGATTAGCTTGATCAGGTAAATTACCCTTTTCAGTGTGATCCACCAGTGAGCGAACTGAGCACTATCCAGGCAAATACACTTTCATGTGGAGACTACCTGAACACGCAGAGACTTGTTTCAGAGGATTCCAATGCCTTTCCACAAAGGTCAGAGAGGCTGGGAAGCTGCTCCTGTTTCGCAGCCCCTCCAGCAGGCTCGCCCAATCCCGCCCACCAGGCTGATTGGCCGCGGGGCCCCTGGGCGGCGGGTTTGCGGCTACTTTAGTTCCCAGCTCTTCCCAACCCGCGGGAGCCTTCCAGTTCCTTCCAGTTCCTTCCCGCTCCTTCCCGCTGCAGCTCTTGAAGCTCCCAGAGGCTGAGGCCGCTGCCCACATCTTCCCAAATTCTCCAAAACTCACAGTCGCTTCTTCCAAATTCCACATCTTGGCGGACTTTGCGAAGGAGGTGGAAACACGAGTAGTAAGCAGTTCCAAGGAAGAGTCTGCTGCTCGGGATGCCTGAGCTTGGCGGTGGTGGTGGTGGGGTGTAGGGGGCAGGGGCCACGGAAGTCAGTGGGGACCAAGTCGTGACACCCCATGTCGCTCCGGGAGGTCCGGGAGCCCCCAGCCGGTGTTTTGGGCGCCAGCCCCCGGTGGTGGATACTGCTGCCTAGCTCTGGTGAGGGAGTGGGCTGGGGTCAAGGGGACCCGGCAGGGGGTGCGGCAGGATCCAGAACCAGCACCAGGTCTAGGTGGGTGACCCGGGAGCTCCCTGGATCCCGAGGCTGAGTTACTCCAGACCCAGACCAGGAGCATCAGGGCGGGGCTCTTCCTCACTGCTGGGCTCCTCGGGGCAGTGAGGTCAGCCTAGGCTCTGGGCCCCGCGGGCATGTATTTGGCTGCTGAACTGTGGTTTCTCCCCAGGGCGTGATGGCGCTTGAAGAGGACCTGAACGGAAGAGCAGACAAGAACTCGAAGATGGGCAAAAAGAGGTAGCCAGGTTATTTCACTTTCATACTTAACATGTTGTTGGACTAGATGTCCAAACATCAGGGAAGAGTTGCTCCAGACACCACTCACATAACCACAAACTGATGCAAAAGCAAGAGGATTTTTATTCTGTCATGACAGGGTCCTTCAGGTTCAGGATATGAAGGACATTCGATAGCTGTTACGGTTCATCATTTAAAGCAAAAAGCCACAGACACAAGGGAGGAACCTGTAGGTTGTTTTCCAACTTACTGGATTGGCTTATTCAAAGGGTTACTAGCAGTGACTAGTCTATTCCAGGGCAGGAGAATAGCTGCGTGGTCAGGTGATAAGGGAGAGCATCTCTGTGGTCTTCCTGACCTCGTTCTAGTGACTAAATCAACACATCAGGAACTGAGTCAACATCTGTGGGTTGTCTTTGCCTCAATTCCCAGAATGGAGTTATGTTTGAAGATTATTCACAAGGACACAGGAGGATAAGCAGTCCAGCGTGTGTGTGTGTGTGTGTGTGTGTGTGTGTGTGTGGGCGACTGTCCCTTTTCCAAGATAGAGTGAGTGTAAGGTTTTAGAAAAATGTCTTAGGGTTGAGGGGGCTTACAAATGCATTTAGAGTCTTTCAATGTCTTGTACATTTGAGCAATTAGTTTGTAGCCTCCAGGACTGCCCTAAATGATTAGTGGTTGGTATTTCAGCCTTCAGAAACAAACCAGCCACTGGAAGGAACTCCTCTGCTTGGAGCAGCCCTTCAGGTGTGTGTGACAGAAAGAGGCTCCTATTCAGCCTCCAGACCGGCCACCACTCACACCCTTTTAGTTTTGTGTATATATCTCCTCAGCTTTATGAGCACTGCTGATCGCTCATGCACCTGAGCCGTGTGCTGCTTGGGCTCTCTGCTGTGGTCTGATAAACAACTACACAAACACGGAATGTGTCATGACAGGTGAAACAGAGCAAAACTGCATTTAGATCTCTTTAGATTGGTTATCTGTACTTCAATTAGAACACCTGAAAATGTCATTGCTTAGAGAAAATAGTTATTCTCAGTATATTTTTTATCACAGCAGACTGCCTGTGACAGGAAATTAAAAACATATCTCATTAGGCTAATGTTTACAGGAAATTGTAAGCTAAGATAATAGGTATTGGTGGATATATTAATATTATTAGGAATCTACAAAGGGAACGTACAGATTGAAAATAAATTTTATGTTTAAAAATGTAAAATTAGAGGCACCAAAGCGACAGAGAAACCCTGTCTTGAAAAACCAAAAAAAAAAAATGTAAAATTAGAATGAGAAACTCCAATCTGAAGTCACGAATATCTTTAGTTGTTCACTTTCTGTCCACTGAAAGGACATTGGAAAGAAGCTCTCTTGGTGTTTTCTGCTAAAGAAACGGATGCTACATAGAACAGCTCATTTCAGCCCGATCTAGGACAGAGAGAATACACTCTGAGCCTTGAGTAACTGATGCTAACAAGCCAGGAATCAGGATTTATGGACTAGTCAAAAGACACAGCAGGACCAGCCAGGCCTGTCAGCAGGCAAAGAGCTTCCTGCAAGGCTGACAAGCCTGAATTTAAACTCTGTTTCCAGCCCTCAGAGTGGAAGCAGAAGCCAGCTGCAAGTTGCAAGCTGACCCTGACCTCCATAGGAACTTGCGGTGGTGCGTGAGCCTTCCTCCGCTGTGCATGCGTCCATACATAATAAATAAATAAGACGTGAAAAACAACAAAACCAAAAACCGGTCATGGTAACAAGCTGGAAGAATTTCTACTGGCCAATGTTAGGGAAGTTTGAAGTTCAAAGAAAGTGATTGCTCTCAGTGACTTAGGGATGCTAGGGATTCTGAGATGTGGGAACAGGGTGAGCGGTAAAGCATTCTAGGAAAGTTCTTTGCAGGAAAATGCAGCTGTCTGGAACACACTACCCATCAGGTGAGGATTGTTGAGCATTCAGTGGGGAAACCGCTCTTCCAAGGGAGAGTTCCTTCAGCAGCTTCTCCAGGTGATCAGATGCAGCCCCACGGATGGTGGTGCAGGCTCTGAACCTCTGCAGTGTGTGGTGGGGCTTGAGGAGACTGCTTGCAGCCGTGTTCCATCTGATCCAGCCAGGTTTCTAGGGTAGTGCTGTCTAGAAAAAGACACTGTGAGATGCATTTGTAGTTTTAAATCCTCCCTTTCCCCATCAATATTAAAAAGTAAAGAAATCAACTTAGGAGAACTTTTGGGTATCCCAGACAGTAATTTTTATATCTGTAATAAAAGTTATGAATAAGAAGACATCCTCTTTCACAATAAGTTCATAGTTGTATATTGAACATTCATGTTCTTTTTGTGCTCTGCTTGAAACCCAGATGTCTAATGTGCAGTACATTCTAGAAGGTAATTGCTTAGCATAGTAGCTTAAAGAACTATGTGCACACATTCACATGTGTACCCGCGTGTACTCTGGTCTTGTTTTGTCCTTGAGATAGGATCTTGCTGTATTGTAAGGTGGGGCTTGGAGATCATCCCACATCCTTTCCCTAAGAGCTGGAATTGCAGGTGTACACCACCACTCACTTATATTGCATACAAAGTATTGCATGATGTTCAAAGAGAAAGGTAAAGAAAATAGATGGTTTGATTCTATGCATGTCTTCATTTTATCATTGGTTCTCTTGTGACTTCAGAGTAGAGAAATTCTTTGTACTTTTTGCTTAGTGGCTCTTAAACTGCTCCTCAGCACTGACTTGTGATTCTCAGAATCTACTCCAGGATGTTGCCTGGGTGAGCCTCTAAGTGACTTTTAAGCTTTAGTTCAGGGAGAGAGAATCCACATTGTCACCAGTCCTCACTACTAGTAGATTACCCAGAGCACTGTCAGCTCAGAACTCAGTGCTCAACAAGAAAAACTAATAGTCATTCACGTTGTTAGAGAAATTTCACAGATATACATTAAAGATACCTTTCCCTTCAGTACTAGGGATTGAATCCAGGCTCTGTACATGCTAGACAAGTATCTATTTTTGAACAATATATCTAGCCCAGTGACAGGCAAATGCTGTACCACTGGCTCCATCCTGGCTGATGTCTCGGAGGTCTGCATCTCCAGCCTCACAACTTGGTGGTTTAGCAGCAGACTGCATTCTAAATCTTAGTTTTGTTCTATCAACAGGACCCAGGACAAGTTAAAATAACTCTTCTGCATGCTTTTTTACCTACCAAAGGTCAACATATGCCTTCTTCCGAGTTTTTAATGAATCATTCTAGCTCATACCTAGAATGTCAGATGTTCTCTTAAGTAGCATCAGTGTCGCGCAGAGCTGAGATGGTCATGGCTGTCTCTTTTCTTGCATCCTAGCTCGGGATCCTGAAGCTGTGCTGCGGCTGCACCAGCACAGGACCCATCCTGAGCTCATGGCTTTGTTTCCATCTTGTCCTACTAAGAACTGGACTTCTTCTCCTTTAAAATGATCCTCTTACTTCATATAGTGCATGAAAAAAAACCCATAAACTTCTAAACCTCAAAGTCGGTGTTAAAATAATGTTCTTTCTAGAATAGTCTCTCCTAGGAGTGATTTGGCATGGCTTGCCATCCCTGCTGGCAGTGACAGGTGGTGACAAATGTGGGTTGTGAGGTAGAGTTATTTGATTTGTAACTTTGAGTAGCAGTTGACTTTTTTACATGTAGAGGCATCTTTTTGACAATTTATAGTTACGTTGTTTTGTTTTGTAAACCATGGCTTTTTAAGGTTTTATTTGGTCCACTGAGGACTTCAGATGCCTTACAGAATTAGATTTGCCCATAGAGTAATTATTTTTCAAATTAGGATAATTATGTCCAACATCTGATCACTACTTTCTGTAGCAAAGAGAATGATTAGAAATACTATCCAGACTGCCAATAAAAAATTAATGAATGAATGTATGTCTAGGTAGTAATTGAACTATACCTAGACTTACCAAGAAGGTAATTGGGCAGATTAATTCGGGAACATGATTTATTTTCTGTCTTTTCTTTTTTACAAGTAGGGAAGTACTATGTAGCCCAGGTTTTCCTCCTATGTGTAATCTTTCTGTCTTAGCCATTTTAGTCCTGGAATTACAAATATGCTTTGCCATGCCCAGCCATAATATTATAATTAGACTAAAATTAACCAAAAAAAGGAAAAAAACCTCATTTTTTAAATGTGTAGTATGTTACTTGTAAATAAAAGTGTGAATGAATGTAATCATTAAAAAAAATTAGGAAATATCTAGATACAAGAAACTATTCTTGTACAAATCCCAACACCTGGGATAGGAGCTGTAATTCTCTGAGAAAAGTACTTGCCGCATAAGCTTGAGGACCTGTGTTTTTGTCTCCGGAACCCATATAAAGCCAGATGTGGTGAGATGTGTGAGTGATACCAGCACTCTAATGTAGAACCTTTAGACGTGGAAACAAGAGAACCACTGGAATCTTCTGGGCCAGCTGGCCTGGCTAATCCAGTGGTGAATAACAAGGGCCCTTGTCTCTAGCACATAGATGGCGAGGAATGGCATGCAGGGTTTCCCACCTCCTACATGCACCTTGTATGTTTATGCCTCCCATAGTCATGAGAACACACATACACAAAGTAAAAGTTAAACATAGAAAGACAATCATATATTTAAATGTCTAAAATATGTGAACATTTGCATTTACACTTTATTTATTTATTTATTTATTTTTGTTTTTTGAGACAGGGTTTCTCTGTAGCTTTGGAGCCTGTCCTGGAACTCCCTTTGTAGACCAGGCTGGCCTCAAACTCACAGAGATCCTCCTGCCTCTGCCTCCCAAGTGCTGGGATTAAAGGCGTGCGCCACCACCGCCCAGCAACTTTAATGATCTCAGACTGTTTGTCTGAGACTGTGTAGAAATGTTTGTCCTAGTGAGTGAGTACTGTGTAGACATGTTTCTCCTAGTGAATTAGTACTGTATAGATATGTTTGTCCTGGTGAGTGAGTACTGTGTAGACATGTTTGTCTTGATGAATGAGTACTGCGTCGACATGTTTGTCTTAGTGACTGATCCTAGTGAATTAGTATGCTGTAGACATGTTTCTCCTAGTTCTCTAGCAGGCTGGTACTTTAAAGTTTTCGTAGTATTTCTGAACCTCCATTCAATTTCTTTGTTATGTTCTTTAGTCAAAAGGAGAAGAAAGAAAAGAAACCGACCGTTGGCATATTTGGGATGGTGAGTTTGGGATTCATTCATTGTTTAAAATACGTCACAAAAGAGATATTCCATGTGGTATTAGGCTTTTTTAGGAGGTGGAGCTGGGGGTGATGTTAACTGAGGATTTAGCTTATTTTCAGAAGAATGGCAAGCATAATTTGCCATGGACTGAACCTCAGTAGCTTCCTCTTCCTGGCTTAGATTTCAATGTTTTCCAAATTAGTTATGTTACCAGTTATCTTTTACCTGTATTTTTCTTGATGGTCCTTGCCGGCGAGGTGGAGGAATGCTTCTGCATCCCCTGCTGTCTTGTTTGGTACAGGTTATGGCAGGGTATTGCTGTGTGTGTACGGATAGCCTCAGACTCCTGACCCTTCTACCTCCTTCCTCCTGGGAATTACTGTTGTATCACTATGCTTGGTAACATGCCATCCTTCAAGGCCCTGAAGTCCTGGGTACTGGGATTACCATTATATCACCATGCTTGATAATATGACATCTTTCAAGCTTCTGAAGTCCTGACAGGTTTGCCTCAAAGCCTATCCCCCCATGTTTGAAGAGTTTATCTAAATTTTTTATTATTTCTACCCTCATCCCACTCACCCCCATCCAAAAAGGACCATCAAATCTTTCTAATCCCCTCCCTACTACTTTTCGTGTCTCTCTATATGTATCCCGGGTCCTCCAAAGCCTCTGTGGCTAATTCTGGTAGCTCGCTGCTAACTCTGCACCCTGATTCAAGGCCAAGCTTTATTGGCAGTCTCGTGGTGTCAGTGTGAACACATATCCTGAAATACATGCTAAGAAAGGTTGTGGTGGATTATTGAGTCCTAGGATTTAACAGTCAGGGTCTTCTCTCTCCTGGTAAATGTGGAAACACGCTTACAGCCATGTGGAGAAAGGTATTTCTTCTCACTGACTGTATTCCAGTCAAAGTATTCATGTACGCCACCACGGGATGAGAAGTGATTTCTACCTTTTCAAAACATTATTTTTCTTCTGTCATCTTCTTTGAAACTTTAAAAATTTTCATCAGATATTACCAAAGAGAAGACACCTGCCTGAATTCAGGAGGAATAGTTAGTACAGGGGGCGGAAGAAATAGGTCAGCTGTTCAATACACTCGCTGCTTTTACAGAGGAGTAGAGTTCAGTTGCCACACCCACGCCAGGGAACTCCCCACCCTATAGCTCCAGCTCTATGGGATCTGATGTTCTCTTCTGGCCTTTGGCAGCACTCACATTCATGCCCCCCCCACATATGCACATAGATAAAAATAAATAAATTAAAAAACAATTGGTACAGCGCATGGTGAGGTGATTGCCAAAGTTCAGCACCAGTAGAGGACAGCTTGGTGTGCGGCAGTAGCCGTGACAGTCTGAAATGGGCTTGACTTTGGGGTCTGTTTAGAAGCACCATCCATGGTGTCGTGCGCTCACTGTGCGCCTGCTCTTCTTCCTCCTAGTTTCGCTATGCGGATTGGCTGGACAAGCTCTACATGGCCCTGGGAACGCTAGCTGCTGTCATCCATGGGACTGCACTTCCCCTCTTGATGCTGGTGTTTGGTCACATGACAGATAGTTTTACAAAAGCAGAAACCGGTATTCCATCAAACATTACTAATCAAAGTAAGGATTATTCGTGGTACCGAAGTTATTGGAATTTTGTAAATAACATTCACTTAACGTACCATTTGCAGTGCTGTTGTTTTGTGCTGTGAAAGGTAGAGGGTCGGAGCTCCAGCTCTTGCTTGTAATGAGTTTGAGAAGATCGTGTTAATGGGCGCTAGAACACCCAGGACAAGTGTTGGCAGAGATATGTAGAAAAGGAAGGAGCTCTGTGAAGTTGCCTTTGACAACTTCAGGAGGAAGTACAGGAATCTAATCCACTGTGAATGGTGAGCGGCACTAGTTACGAGTCCGGGGCTTGAGTGTAAGCAAGGACTGAGGATGATGCTGATGCTTTAGCCTGAGAAACTGAAGGACGTGGTTACTCTCAGAGGAGATGAGAAAGAGGAAGGGAGAGACGTCTGCACAGTTTTGTGTGTGGTCATGTGTTGGCCTGTCAGAAAGCAGTCCCAGTATTGAAGAAATGAAATGAGGTCTGAGACAGTTATTTATAAGAAAGAGATGATTTCATATGATGCAGTTTCATGGTTCACTGCAGGAGCCTGAAACCTCAGAAAGTCTAACTTTACATAAAGAGGGGACTGGCAGAACTTAATTTTCTCAGCAAGATTGGAAGCAGGAAAGTGATGGATAAGGAAAGATGTAAAACAAGCACCCTGGGGGAGTGAAGAAATGAGTAAGCTGTGGAAATCCTTTCCCTCATCTAACACAGACATCCTTGACTTGGTGGACACAGGCTAGCTCCGAGCTTCAGTGTGCAGGTCACTGTTGGTCATGCAGAGATTGAGTTAAAGTAAACTACTAGAGACTTACAGCTCTGTTGTACTCAGTTAACATGTTGGCGAGTTACAGTTATATATTTAGAAGTGTGTGTGCCTGTGCGTGTGCTAGTGTGTGTGTGTGTGTGTGTGTGTGTGTGTGTGTGTGTGTGACAACAATTAATGAAAAAGGAAGGCAAGGATTTGAAAGAGAGCAAGGAGTATATGGGAGGATTTGGAGGGAGAAAAGGGAAGGGGGAAGTGACATAATTATACTGTAATCTCACATTTTGCAATGACTGTAAGATTCAAAATGTGCCTTTTGTTGACCTAGCAATCTTGATTATGATAATTTTTCTAATACAGTACTTACCATATAGACACATATGTGTACACATATGCTTAAGCAGTATTATTTGTCTGTTTATGTGGTACTGGATCAAACCCAGGGAATAGTGTTTGCTTGGTAAGTAGACTCACTGAGTGATGTTTCCAATAACAGTTTGATATTGAAACAACCAAAATGTATGCAGACTTAAAATTGATACAAGCATACACTGACAAGAAGAGTTGGTGCTGAATATAGACCAAGATTCACACTTGTTACTTTTTAAAAAGTATTTTTAAAGTTTTTATATACGTGCACATATATTAAATAAAATTGACAACTTACACAAAAATGTTGACTAGTAGTTATGTATGTCTATGTGAATGTTTAAAGTTTGGGGTTTCTAATGTATTTGGTTCAGACAATTAGCTCTTCCTAATATTGGATAACGCTCTGTTGTAATGGTAAGCCACTTGTTTGTTCCTGGCTGCTCAGCCACGAAATAATCACACAGAAACTGTATTAATTACAACATTGCTTGGCCTATTAGTTTATGTATATTTCTAGTCACTTTTATCTCCTAAATTAACCCATTTCTATTATTTTATGTTTTACTATAAGACTCCTGACCCTCAGGTTCCGCCATGTCTGTCTCTGGTGGCGGCTCCATGGCTTCTCCTGACTCCACCTTCTTTCTCCCAGCATTCAGTTTAGTTTTCCCTGCCTACCTCTATTCTGCCCTGTCAGGCACAAGACAGATTTCTTTATTTACCAATGATATTCACAGCATACTGAGGGGAATCTCACATAACTCTGTTCTTTATGATAATTGTGAAATAACCATGAAACAGAGAAATACCGTATTAGTGTTTGCATATGTGCCCATGTCCAGTCACACTGCTATTTCTTTGTCACTGTGGGTTTCCTCTTGAAAATGAGCACCATTGAATGTAAGCTTTGTGTAGTAGCTCATGGCCAACACAGAACTGTTTGAATGGATGTCATTAAAGCTTGGATTGAAACTAAAGTTGAATTTTACTGATCACTTGGTCCTATTTTTGTATAGATTTTCAAGTGAAACGAATTTGGGTTTTTTTTATATGTTTATTATTATTGGAGTGCAAAAAGGCATAAATGGCCCAGCTCTGTTTTCTACTTGTCTAGGTGAAGTCAACAGTACAGAGAATGTCAGCAGCAACCACCTGGAGGAAGATATGGCCACGTAATTCAACACTTTCTTTATTTTTCCATTAATCTTTTATACATTAATCTGGTTATAATGATCTATAAAATTTCTCACTCATATAATTTGAAGTTGAATTAAAAATCATTGAATATAGCTTTGTAATTATTAATGTACCTCTTACACAGTATCCCTAGTAAAAATTATAATAATATTGGATAGCAGGGAAATTTTAAACTTGGCATCTAATTGTAAATATGAACTAAAGCATCCTAAAATAACTGGGTGGTGGTGACATACTTTAATCCCAGCAGTTGGGAGAAAGGGACAGGTGGATCTCTGTGAGTTCAAGGCCTGCCTAGTCTACAAAGAGAGTTCCAGGACAGCCAGAGCTGTTACACAGAAGGACCCTGTCTTGAAACACAAAAAAACAACCCCCCCCCAAACAAAACAAATTTGTGGAATTAACATATGTTTAATTTTTACCTTGGTTTAACTAAGGAATATATTTTGCTTATGATTTACAGGCTTTAACGTTTTTCTGAAGAATATCTTTTTTTTCCTGAAGAATATCTTTGAACAAATGTGCAAAGATCCATGACAGTATTCAGATAATTTGACTCTACATTATTCTATGGATGCCTTGACATGTTCCTTGATTATATTTGAATGAGAAGACATAAATACACTGACCACTATTGTATAGAGGCATTATTCTTTTTATATTGTAATAACTTTAAATCTTTCTTTTTCTTTCTTCTTTTTTTGGGACAGGGTCTGACCTCTTGATGCAGCCCAGGCTGCTCTCAAGCTTATGGCCTCCCTTCTGCCCTAGCCTTACAAGTCCTGGGATGACAGGCTCAAGCAACAATGCCCAGTTAACAGAAACATCTTGATTGTTTAAAATATATTGCCAAGGCTAGGAATGATGACCCATCTTAGCACTGTGAAGGTTCTGGCAGGAGGGCTGTGAGATTGAGGACAGCTTAGGCTATGTGGCAAGACCCTGTCCTTTACAAAAAGACCTAAACTCTGAAAGAATGAACAAATTAATGAAACTAAAGAGCTTTCAAGTTGTTCCCTAACCATAAGATATACTTTTTTAAATGGGGTTACCCTTGCTGTATCATTAGCACATGAAAAATGACTAATTCTAGACTCATCTGTTAGGGAGAAGCTTTCTAGTTGCCCCATATCTTTTTGGAAGCTATGAGCTATATCAGGGTGTGATGTGTTTGCAGGATTCCTGACAGGTTGAGGACAGAGCTGTTGAATACCACATGAGGGACACCCTTCCTTCTAAGTAATGCTGATGCTTCCCATGACACCCTGCAGTTTTCAGGAGAAAACAAGTAGAACTTCTCCTTTTCAAGATGGGGACATCGGAAGGTTTGCCTTTTATCTGAACATGAACTGATCGCAGGAGCCAAGGTTTGCCCTTGTGAATGTGAAGACTCAGAACATGGGAATGTCAGTTCACCTTTTCTTAGTTTAATTTGAAGGCTTTCATTTTTCATAATTTCTGTTTAAATTAGAAGGGCCGCTCTTTGATTCCTTAAACATTTTAGGGTAGTTCAAAATGACCAATTGGGTAGGTACCGATAGTATTAATTTTCAGCTGTCGCTTATCAGCTGAGCTCTGTCAGTTTAGAGGGGCAAGGAGTCACTTCCATCCCTAGTTTCCACTTTCAGACAGGTCCTGTCATATGTCCCTTGACAAGCAGAGACAGCCCGGGCATGGGGCTTATTAACTGATGTTGATGTAATAGACTTAGGACTACAAGGGCATATGTCAGCAGACTTCCAATATACCACGCACTGTTCCATAGTAACTGATGTTCTCTGGGTGCTTGCTATATGTAAGGTACTGGCCCAAGCACCTTTCAGACATATTATATAACTGTTTTTACCTCCATTTTACTGGCTAGAACATTGGAGCCTAAGATGTTGAGCATCTTGTCTGAGTTTACACGGTAGTTCAGTGAAGAGCCGGCTTTACCCCAGAGCCATTCTTCTGTATCACTGCAGATATAGTCTCACGCTGACATGGCAGCTCTGCTCCTTACAGCCCCTTCCTGTCTGTTAAGGATGGTGGGATCCCCAGAGAGCTGAAGAAGTAAGGCTCAACTTACTTGTATTCAGAGGGAAGGACTGGTCATCAAACAGCACTACGGTGTTCTTGTTTTTCAGGTACGCCTACTATTACACGGGGATTGGTGCTGGTGTGCTCATAGTTGCCTACATTCAGGTTTCATTTTGGTGCCTGGCGGCTGGAAGACAAATACACAAAATTAGACAGAAGTTTTTCCATGCGATTATGAATCAGGAGATAGGCTGGTTTGACGTGCATGACGTTGGGGAGCTCAACACCCGGCTCGCAGAGTGAGTACCTAGTTTTAAGCTGAAGTCAGATACACTTTTGTTCTCAATGCTGTGAAGTAGATACCAGCACCCTGTTAGAAGTATAGGTGCATCACTGAGCAGAGTAAAGCCTTGTGAGCAGTACCTGTGTCTTACACAGCTTCTTGTTCCCAGTGCACTGGCAGAGATGGGGGGCGGAGCTGCTGCTTGCCTGGCACTCAATGAGGGACCAGCCTGGCAGAGTCAAATGCAGAGTGAGCAGAGCAGTGATTGCAGGGAGCAGCAGTGTGGTCTGTCCAGCCCCACTGAGTACCATCTTGCCAGGGCTCCATGGTGGCCCTGGAAGACATTGGAAAGGAGGAGGGAGCTCCTGTCAGTCAGCCTCTGCTTCACAGAAGGCACAGTGAACTCAGCGATTCGTGTTCATAGAGAACAGCGTCATATACACACATCCCTGAGCAGTTTGAAATTTCACAGTGAATTGTCTTAGACATCACATGTGTATTCATGCTGAGGCCACATGGACCATAGGGCACTGTTAAACCAGCAACAGCTAACCCATCACGTGAAATACATACACTCTAGGCGACAAATTAATTTATTTCAGATTCAGTGATAACAATATAAAACTGGATAAATTCTGTGCAAATCTGACATTATTTGTAACACGATCTCTTTTTTCTTTAGTGATGTCTTCAAAATTAATGAAGGAATTGGTGATAAAATTGGAATGTTTTTTCATTCCATAACATCATTTTTAGCTGGTTTCATAGTAGGATTTATCCGTGGTTGGAAGTTAACCCTTGTAATTTTGGCTGTCACCCCTCTTATTGGACTGTCATCTGCTATGTGGGCCAAGGTAGGTGAATCCAGAGTTCAGAACCCTCCCCAGAACCTCATGGGAAGGTCTTTAACCATGACAGTCCTGATGGTAGGCTTGCTACTTGCTTTAATCTTCTGTTTAACAGTCGACAGGAGAAGCTGATTCAGATCTACCGAGCTATTACTTGGGGAAAGTATAAGAAAGAAGGAAGGGGATGTTGTGTGTTCTCCACCTTTATAGAAAAGACATGCTTATCTGGAAATATCAGTGCTCAGTAGAGGACAACCCCATGTTCACTGTGAAGTGGCTCTCCCATGTCTACACCGCCCTCTAGTGGTTTCCAGAGCCTTCTGTCACTCTCAGCCTCAGATCATGGGGCTTCAGTTGTTCTTTTACCCAGTGAGCCCTCTCGTGGGCCTTTGCTAGTCTCATGTGGGCATGAGACTGTTTTGTTAATCCTGAAAAGTAGGAAGAGCTAGAGGGTCCCAGGCAGATCAGGCACCTGATCCAACGGTCTCTTTGTGTCCAGGATCTATTCCTTGCTTAGACATTGGGTCAGTTAGAGGGTACTGGTAGGGAATCCAGTGCACTTTTTCTCTCCCCAAAGATGCCTGATATTCAAAGACCTTGTTCTTTGTATGATTTCTGTACAAGCAACATTTTTATATCTATCTATTTTTTACTCTGCAAAAGATAGAGTTGCTCCGCATTATTAAATGATACCAGATCACACTTTAACAGGTAATGACTTCATTCACTAATAAGGAACTCCTGGCTTATGCGAAAGCTGGAGCAGTTGCCGAAGAAGTCTTGGCTGCCATCAGAACTGTGATTGCATTTGGAGGACAAAAGAAAGAACTTGAAAGGTTTGGGCTTCTTTCTCTAGAAATGTAAAATTCTCTGTCCTTGCTAATATTCTGCAAAATTGCAATTCTAATTATGCTTTCCTAATACATGCCTTCAGAAGAAGGGTTTTTTATGTTCTGTTTACTTTTTGAAATGTTTGAAGGCCTATGTTTTCATTCTTACAGAAGAAAGAGATGGCACAGAAACTACAAATGAGGAGTATCTGGTACACAGACAACCTATTAGTCTGAGAAATAAAAGATTCTAAGAGAGTTATTGGAATTTATTTTTTAGAGAGACATAATATGCTTTGATAGAACTGAGGAGAGGACCTGAGTTCTTAGGGGCTCAACCACCTGTAACTCCAGCCCCAGGAGACCTTTTTTGAGCCTCCAGGAATATCTTTGCTTATACCTACCCTGTGGTGGTTTGAAAGAAATGGCCCCCTATGGGAGTGGCACTATTAGGATGTGTGGCCTTGTTAAAGGAAGTGTGTCATTGTGGAGGTGGGCTTTGAAGTCTTATATATGCTCAAGCCACTGCCAGTGTCTCAGTTTACTTCCTGTTGCCTGCGGATCAAAGATGGAGAATTCTCAGCAACTTCTCTAATACCATATCTGCTTGTATGTCACCCTGTTTCCTGCCATGGTGATAATGGATAACTAAACCTCTGAAACTATAAGCCCCCCATTAAGTGTTCTCCTTTATTAATAGCAATAGAACCCCAACTAAAACACTTCCCCCAACATAGTCTTTAAATATATGCTTTGATAAAAGAAATGTACTGAGGAATATGAGGAGGGCACATCTAGATATGGTCAAAGAATGTCTCTTAGATGAGATTTCAATTAGCCTGAGACCTGAGAGATGAGAATAAGTCTCCCATAGTGAGGGTGGGGATGGGGTCTGGGATAGCAAATCATCTAAATCTCCCAGCTTGGCAAAATCTTCAGTATGTTGTGGAAAATATCATCATGAAGCGTCTACTTCTGAAGCAATCAGTCTATCCCACTTTCCCTTCAAAACATCAGCTATGGGAGGAAACCAACTCCTTTGGAATGGAAATTTAACCATAATTGTGACTGCATTTAATTCAAAGACATTTTACTTTTGTGTAGCCCTGTTTGTTGGGAGTTGCTCTACTTCCTGAGTGGCCAGATTTCTGTTCTGAGAGTCCTTACTTAGCCAGATATACTCAATATATGCCGTACTTTTTTCTCTAGCAGTTTCAAACTTGCCAATCTTATGTTTAGACTGTTTTGTCATGGAAAATTTCGTTTCTCTTTCAATTATGGCAGGCATTTTTCTTGGTTATTAGCAGTGTTCTTTGAGAATTTGAACTACATCATCCCAAACCCTTCTGGTTTTTATATTTTCTGTAGAAAAAAAAATCAATTGTTATTCTGGTTGGTCCCTTATTGTATATGATTTGGGCCTTTTCTCCTGCAGCTTTTATCTCCCCTCATCTGCCCTATCTTTCTGTGTTTTTAGTGTTTTAACTATAACACGACACGGGGAGCTTCTTTCCTGTCCTGTCTCATAGGCGTTCTGTATGTGTTCTGTACCTAGATACACACCTGTTCTAGATGTGGCAACATTTCTTCTGTGCTTTTTGTTGAAAGTCTTTTCTGAGCCATTCTTGTTCTTCTATGCCCATCATTCATAGATTTGATCTTTTCATGGTATCTCAAAGTTCTCGCATGCTCTGTTTATGTGTTTTGTAAAAAATAAAAAAAGCGTTTGAAAAAATTTTCAGTGTCTTTGACTGGATGGCACAATTCCTTTATCTTGATTCCTGCTAGACCATGTTCCATGTTCATTACCCAGTCTCTTCGGAAGAGTTTCTCCACTTTCCTTTTGATTTGACTTACTGAGTTTTGTGTCTTGAGCATCATTTTGACTTAAGTTTTCCTCAGTATTTCTGTCATTATTGAATTCTATTTTCATATCTTTAGTTGACTTCGACAGGTGTGTTCATGTTCTCCTTAAATTCTATGAGTGTGACTATAGTCATATTTTTAATTGTTTGGAATTTGAGATAAGTCCCTGACAGTACCATCCCTTCCCATGAGATTGGTACTTTTTGGAGGATACCTGCTGTCTTGGTTTTTAATCTAATTTTTGGTTTTGTGATGGAACTTGTCCATCTGGAGTTAGTTTCATAGCAGAAATTGGTTTTTATGCACCACCTCTCTTTGGTAAGGGATGATGACCTGACATTTTTTATTGGGGTGTTGTGGCTCCTGTCACTGCTAAGACACTTTCTGTCAGTTTACTCAGGTAGGGAAGAGAAGAAGCAGGCGTGGTAGTTTAGTAGACTTGTGTGTCCCTGGCAGGCTGGCAGAGTGCAACTCAATAGCTCTGCTCTTCCGTGAAATGTAAGCCTGATCCAGGCTGCAGTCTTTTGCTAGGAGCCTGTGGTTTCTACTGCACCCCTAGACCAGTCTGTGCCTCCACTGTCCCGTGCTGTCACATGGTGCCTGCAGCTTCCCCAGCCTGTACCCTCCATATATTCACACGCCAAAATCATTTCTGTAGAACAGTGATTTTAATAACTGCTTCTATAAAAATAAGATAAAGCGTATGGCTTGTTTGTTTCTAACAGGGAACTCTTTGCTGTGTGGCTTCGTCTGGCCTGGAGCTCTCAGTTCTCTTGCTTGGGCTGCCTTGGGTCTGGGATTGTTGGTGTGCGCACAGCTTTTCAGCTGATTGAGTACAGCTTTTTTAAATACCAAAAACATGGTTTAACATGTCACAGTTTTCAGAGTGCTCTCCTCTGTAGAATCTCCCAATTTATTTTCCTAGTATCCCCAAGGGAGCAAACTGTTTTTAGAACTTTCTTAAGGTCCAGAGCTTTAAGTAGCTTTTTTATGTTAAGGTTTTCTAGCATTATATCTCCAATTCATTAACTATCTGCTCCTCCTTCCTGTTCTTCCTTCTTTGTTCTTCACCCTTTCCTTCTCACATTTTCTGATTTTCTGAATTCTTCTTTCTTGCCCGTTTTCATCTTCCTTCCCATGCTTTTTCTTTTTCCCATCCCTCTTCCCCAAAGAGGACAGGCTGGCCTTGAACTTGCATTTCTCCTGCTTCAGCCTCCTTAGTGCTAGGATCATAGACAGAGCTACCATGAGCAGTGGTTTTTCTTGTGGGTTGTGTGTGTGTGTGTGTGTGTGTGTGTGTGTGTGCGTGTATGCATGCAATAATATGTGCTTTTGATAAATTTTTATTATTTCATGATTACTAAAGCCAGAAAAGATTTAAGCCTCAGTTACTCTTCAGTGAAGGAATCAAATAATAATAGATCTCAGGGGCAATGTATGGAGATAAGAGGAAAACATATGTACTACAGGGCTGGTACATTCCAACTGCTCAAGTAACTCCCTTGTTACATTGATACAGTTCCTCAATCTTTATGAGTACATGTAATGATTTCTGTTTCTTTTTTCCAGGTACAATAAAAATTTAGAAGAAGCTAAAAATGTTGGAATAAAAAAAGCTATCACAGGTGGCATTTCCATAGGTATTGCCTACCTATTGGTCTATGCATCATACGCACTAGCATTCTGGTACGGGACCTCTTTGGTCCTCTCAAATGAGTACTCTGTTGGACAAGTGATTACCGTAAGTCATATGTGCTTTGTAAAAGGATTCACTAAAAGTGCCATTTCAATTGAGTAGTTTTAATTTAATCTTAGAAGAATGTGTTTTGAAACCTATTAAATACTATAAAGAAACATTCATTCAGTTACTAGGTTCAAGAGTGGAGAGGAAATTAGATTTATCCAAAAATCAATATTGTTGTCTTTCTTACAGATATCTTTAAAAAAAACTTATTCTTAAGTTGGGCACTCAGAAGGCAAAGGCAGGTGAATTTCTGTGAGTTCAGGGCCAGCCTGGTCTACAAGAGCTAGTTTCAAGGCAGGCTCCAAAGCTACAGAGAAACCCTGTCTCGAAAAACCAGGGGGAAAAAAGCAAACTTATTCTTTTTGTTTCAATGTTGCACTAAAGAATAAAAAAGTCTTCCTCTTGGAGTATTATAAACCAGTGTCTTAGTCACTGAACCATTGCAGTGAAGAGACACCATGCCCAAGGCAACTCTTATAAAAGAAAGCATTTAATTGGGGGCTTGTTTAAAGTTTCAGAGAGTTAGTCCATTATCATCACGGTGAGGTGCATGGTGGCACACAGCCAGACATGGTGCTGGAGAAGTTGTTGAGGGCTACCTCCTGATCCAAAAGCAAAGAGATAGGAGGGGGGAAGGAGTCCAGCACAAGCTTTTGAAAACCTCAAAGCCCACCCTCAGTGATCCCAGTGGTATATTTCCTATACTTCCTCCAACAAGACCAAACCTACTCCAACAAGATCACATTTCATTCTTATCATCTTGTCAAAGAGTTCCAATCCCTGATGACTAAGCACTCAAATAGTAGGAGTCTCCTGTGGTCATTGTTACTCAAACTACCCAAACTAAGAATGAGTCCTCTTTGAATTCTTCACTTTTCTCCCTGTGTCGTCTCTTTTGTTAATTGTAGTCTGACGTCTGTCTGTCTGCACTTACAAAGGGCTTTGCTCTACTTCCATTGAACAGCATAGAAAAACATGGTACTGGAAAGGAATGAAAAATTCTTCTTTACTGAAAAATTTAATAGAGGTTTACAAGTGACGGTGCTACTTTACTGACCCTAAATAGCACCCAGAACTGCAGGCAGACATTATCAACCTGTACCCACTTATTGCCTCCAATATTTATGCTGGATACGTTTTCTTTAAAGTTGCTTTCAGGTTACTGTCTGGTTTTAGCAAATTATTTCCATAACACACACACAGACTTTTCTGGGTCAGAAATAGGAAAAGTAGATAGTTTAAAACTACACATTTAGCTTCGGTTGTAGAAGCTACGTGTATCTGAAGTCCAGGGCATGGTTAGGTTGGTTACATTGCTTTCTTAAAGGCATGTAAAACTAAACTGGATGAATACACAATGGGAAAACAAAGTGACTATACTGTTTTAAATGGTCTTAAGGTATATTATTAACTTGCTTGCAAGGTCTGGCAAAATTTAGTATCTGAAGACATGAAGTATTTTCAGAAAAGGTGATTCCCAGCCCTGTAGCCTAAATACCATTGGCATTGACCACCTTTCCTCTATGAGCCTACATTTAATGAGATGGTCTCCCTTTGACACAATCGTGCTAAGTGCTTCTCTTATTTTCTGATTTACTACTCAAAAAATGAGTAGTAAATAGTAAAAATCTTTTGACTGGTAGCCTCACAGTTTGGTAGAAATGTAAATTGTTGTTCTTTGTAACCGAAAATTGTATTTAGAGCTTTTTTGCCTTGTAGGACTGCGCACAAATACAGGTGCAGGATTTTGCACCAGACCTACTGGCTTCAAATTCCAGCTGGACTTTACCAGCTCTGATTTGGAGCAACTGTCTAAACTCTTACGGCTTCCCTCTAATGCCAAACAGATGTGACAGGAGCATGTGCCATAACTTCTAGCATGGCATGAAGACTCAGCATGATACACAGTTGCATTCCTGGAGGGCTCGGAGATGAGTAGTGACATCAGTTCTCGCAAAGCTCCAATAGATCAAAGACGAGTTTTTTTTTTTGTAGCAAGAAGAAAGTGTTTTGAACAAAACAAAGAACAGAAACCCAAATACCTGTTCATTAGATTTCAAAGAGGGCACAGTGTAAGGAGATGAACTGGGGCCACTGAGTCATATCTAGCTGTGTGCTGCATAATTGAGAATGCATTTGCAGAAACTGTAGCATCTGATGCAGCCTAGACAGCAGGTCAGCTTGATAGCCAAAGGTGTGAAGAGAATGTTCTAAAGATTACAGTACTCATCCGGGTACAGACCTGGGCTTCTTGTGTTTATTTCAGGTTATTCTCGTGAGGATCTAAGTAAAAATGCTGAATCTTTGAAAAAAAAACTTTCTATTAAATATGAGTGTATAGAAAGTATACCATTGTGTGATGAAGCAAGTCAAGTAATTCTAAATTCTAAACACATTAAGTGTTTAAACTTAAATTTATATTATTTATTTTAATTGAAGAATCAACAAATATTTGCTCTTGGTGGCTACAGTATAATATTTTGATATTGTATAAACTATAATACCACAATACCTAATACCACGATTTTAACTTGAATTTCATAGTCATAAACTTAAAATGTTTTAGTACTTAATATTCTTGCCATTTATTCTACTCAGTATTTTGTGTTAGTTTTTCTTGTCATTTTGAAATGAAATTGGTTATATTAGCAGAGAAAGGAAACATGAGGAAAATTGTGCTGAGCACTAAGTAATTGTATGCGTTGGTCCCCTTCTTCAGGTCTTCTACTCTATATTATTTGGGACTTTCAGTATTGGACATATTGCCCCTAACGTAGAAGCCTTTGCAAATGCAAGAGGGGCCGCCTATGAAATCTTCAAGATAATTGATAACGTAAGTCTGGCTGGCCCATTTATTCACCTACATAAAAGATTGATTACTGTTCGAGTCAGTTTCCCTTTTACTTCCTCTCTCTACAACTGTCACTACAGAGTAGTGATTGTAACCTGGTGATCTCCTAACATACACTTCTGTTTAGGAGCCAAGCATTGACAGCTTCTCAACAAAGGGACATAAACCAGACAGTATAATGGGAAATTTAGAATTTAAAAATGTTCACTTCAGCTACCCATCTCGAAGTGGAGTTAAGGTATGGCGATAAATGATAAATCTATGATTCAATAATCTATTGGATAGAGACATTCTTTTAGATACTGTAAAACAAAGACAAATAATCACATGTATGTTACGTTTTTAAACCTAGTACTGAATTCAGCTTTCTGCTCATAGAACTATGTTTGTCTATCCTGGGAATTGCCCTAACAATTAGCTTCTCTCCTGTCTTGGCAGATCTTGAAGGGCCTCAACCTGAAGGTGCAGAGCGGACAGACCGTGGCCCTGGTCGGCAACAGTGGCTGTGGGAAGAGCACCACTGTCCAGCTGCTGCAGAGGCTCTACGACCCCACGGAGGGCGTGGTGAGTGGTCGTGCAGCCAGCAGCGCTACCCTTGCCCATCATTCTGTCTCCATGGTTCTAAAGTGTGACAACCACACATTCCGTTTCAGGTCAGTATCGACGGCCAGGACATCAGGACCATCAATGTGAGGTACCTGCGGGAAATCATCGGCGTGGTGAGTCAGGAACCAGTGTTGTTTGCCACCACGATCGCTGAAAACATTCGCTATGGCCGAGAGAACGTCACCATGGATGAGATCGAGAGAGCAGTCAAGGAAGCCAACGCCTATGACTTCATCATGAAACTGCCCCACGTGAGTTGTGCCTGCCCTCTGTCACCCCGAGGCTCATGTGAACTCAGGAAACTCCTGTGAGTTGGATGAACTTCCTTAGAGGGGAAGTCCAGTTTACTGTGGATTTTCCATCGCTCACCCTATCGACTAGTGGTAGATACTTCTTGCCAAGAACTGGACTGTGTTGCTGGCCAGGCTCCATTGATGATTACGTCCCAATTTGAAATGAGAGCTGAGGTAGTTTATTGTTTCACTATATTTCCTGTTATTTTGTTTGTTTCATTATCATTTTAATTGTAGAAATTTGACACCCTGGTTGGTGAGAGAGGGGCACAGCTGAGTGGGGGACAGAAACAGAGAATCGCCATTGCTCGTGCCCTGATCCGCAACCCCAAGATCCTTTTGTTGGATGAGGCGACGTCAGCCTTGGACACAGAAAGTGAAGCTGTGGTTCAGGCTGCTCTGGATAAGGTCTGTGAGCTATACTTAAAGGCTGAATTATAGGAATATTAGTATTCCATTATTTGTATTTTTTCTTGTCTGTGTGACTGTGTATGTATGTGTATGCATATGCATGTATAGGTGCACTTGAACATGTGTGTGCATGCATGGATTATCTTCCTTAATTGATCTCCACCTTCTTTTTTGAGACAGTGTCTGTCCCTGAACCTAGAGCTCATGGATTTGATAGCACAGACTGATTTATGAATCTTAGTATCTTTCAGTTTCTACCTCCTCAGAGCACTCTTCTTTAAAAAAAATTCTATTTATTTTCTAATAATTTTTTATTTTTTAAGAATTTTATACAATATATTTTGATCATATTCTTTGTTGGTATTATTGTTTTATGAGACAGAGTTTCCCTGCATAGCCCAGGCTGTTCTGGAACTAGCTCTGTAGTCCAGACTGACCTTGAACTCAGAGACCCACCTACCTCTGCCTCCCCAGTGCTGGGATTAAAGGCCTGTGCCTCCACCACCCAGCTTTGGTCATATTCTTTACGCAACTGCAACCCCAGTCTCTCCCTTATCCTTCCTCACCTTCCTGCCACCTTACTTCATCTTCTCTGTCTTCTGATCCTCAAGACAAACAAATCCAGAGTCCAGTTTGTGCTGGCTGACTACTCCTGAGCCTGCCCTGCAGTGTGGCTGATGCACAGTTTTACTTCACTGAAGAAAACGAATTTTTTTCTCTACTGGAGCTATCAGTTATGAATGTTTCTCGGCTAAGTGGAACTTCATGCCCACACATTCATTGAAATCATAGACTGTTTTCTGCAGCTTTGCTGGTTTTATGTTGTCAAAGCACTGGCATTCAGTAAGCATAAGTTGAATGAGTGAGTCTTTCCATATAGTTAGTTATTCATGTATAAAAAGTCAGGTTTCTGTGTCTCCAGGCTCGGGAAGGCCGGACCACCATTGTGATAGCTCACCGCTTGTCTACAGTTCGCAACGCTGATGTCATTGCTGGCTTTGATGGTGGTGTCATTGTGGAGCAAGGAAATCACGATGAGCTCATGAAAGAGAAGGGCATTTACTTCAAACTTGTCATGACACAGGTATAGTGGAACTCTGGAATTTTCCAAAATTATCTTATCGATAACATACTACCATTTAATGCTATAGATGATTTAATTTGATTATCTTGAAAAGCAGGAAAAGTGCTGTGGATATATAGGATCAAGTAAGAGTTTTGTGTTGCTTTTTTTTGGGAAAGAGAGAAGCTTATAAAGGATAATTAACATTTAACAAGGTTTAGAGATGAGCTACCCATGGTAGGAGCTGCTGGCCACATGTGGCTACTGAATGTTAGAATATTGGTTAATCTGGAGTGTGAAATGTTTTAAGTACAAAATGAACACTGGGATTCTGAAGGCCTAGTATAAAAAATGCAAAATATTCCAGTAGCTTTTTGTATTGCTGCATGTTAAATGGATAATATGCTGATGACAATAACATCTTAGATTCTCTAGATTAAATATATAGTTAAATTGATTTTTATCCATTTTCACATTCTCTAATATGGCTGCTAGAACATTTATTTTATTATTTATTTATTTATTTATCTATTTATTTATTATGTATACAACATTCTGTCTGTGTGTGTGTCTACAGGCCAGAAGAGGGCACCAGACCTCATTACAGATGGTTCTGAGCCACCATGTGGTTGCTGGGAATTGAACTCAGAACCTTTGGAAGAGCAGGCAATGCTTTTAACCACTGAGCCATCTCTCCAGCCCCCATGCTAGAACATTTTAAATGGCAGATGTGGCTCACATTATGGGATACACCTCATTGCCTTTGATTACACTAGTTCAAAGCAAACTTGATTGGCTGAGTGCCCCAGAAAAAAAGACTGTTTCAGTTACTTTCTGTGGCTGTGATAAAGTGCCAGGACCAAGCACAGCTTAGGGAGGACAGGGCTGATTCCATCCTATGTTCCATCATCAGGGAAGTCAGACCAGGGACTCAGGCGGAAGCTGGAGGAGGAGCTGATTGCGGGGGCCATGGAGGAGTGCTGCTTACTGACTCACTCACTCTGCCTTCCCCAGTCTTTCTTGAACTACCCAGGACCACCTGCCCAGTGTGCTGGCCCACCTGCCCAGTGTGCTGGCCCACCCACTGAAATCGTAAATAAAAAAATACCCCATAGAATTGCTTAAATGCCAGTCTAAAGGAAGCATCTTCTTAATTAAGATTCCTGCTTCCTAGATGTGTAGGTTTGTGTGCAGTTGACCCAGTAAGCAGCACAGAAGTGGCTAAGAGTATTCTATTTGGTGGCAGTCCTTGTCACTCTGCGGTTTACATTTCATCCCACGAGCAAGCAGAGCAGCTTAGTCCCATCATGTCCCATAAAACCTTGGAACTTTCCTGATTTTCCTAATGCTGATGTCCATGGACCCTTGTCTAACCAATTTCTCCATCTTTCTTATTTGTTTTAGACTACAGGAAATGAGATTAAAATGAAAAATGAAGCTTATGAATCCCAAAGTGACACTGGTGCCCCTGAATTGGCTTCACACGAATCCACATCCCCTTTAATACGGAAATGTAGCTACGGTCCACAAGACCAAGAGAGAAGAGTTAGTGCGAAGGAGGCCCAGGTATGGATGTGGCTGTAGTCATGGGGCTAAACCCTCCCCACACCCTTCCTTGTGTGTTAATTGGGTAAGCTAGGGCCGGGGTAGGAGGAAAACAAGATACAACTGTATAAGACTCCTTCTGTCATGTTTTATAGATTATTCCAGAAATCAAAACCACAGCATTTTACAGTCAGCTCAGAATTTAAGAGTAAGAATTCTTAGGAAGTTTTTTAATTTTGGATTTATGTAAAGAAACTGTGGTCAGTTAAGGGCTTTTCTGTGACAGAGTACTCAACTGGAGCAGCTTCAGGGAGGATGGAAGGGTCTGTAGTGTCTCAGAGTTTGAGGGCGAGTTCATCATGATGGGGCTTTAGAGTGATACATGCCTGTGTTCGGTTCCCTCCCCTTTGAGACAGCCCCACAGTTAGGTCTTCTCACAGCGGTTAAGCAGATCTTAACCTGGATAATTCCTCGCTGTCATACTCTGACGCTTGTCTGCTTGGTTATTTTGAATCCTATTAAAATGACGATATTAACCATCACCGTCAGGAATTCCTAAAATTAGGAATGCTGAATAAATCTTAAAGCATTAGTAAAATAAGCTTTTTGTTTTGTTTCATTTTTGTGGTGCTAGGACCTCATATTTTTAGTTGGGCACCGTACCAATGAGCTATGTCTCCCACCCCTCATTTTACGATCTACTATAGCAAGTAGGACACAGCTCTTCCTGTCTGCCCTTGTACTCTGGGCATACATGGAGATTCTGAACAGTGGATAGTGCTGGAGTCCAACCATAGATATTTAAATAAACATATAGCCTTCAAGATTATGTTTAGGAGAGTTAGAAGCACATATTCTTTATAATCTCAAATCCATAATAACAGAATTATTGTGTGTTAGGGCAGTTTAATAATTTTTAAAAACAGTGAGACTGGTGGTTCTGCCAGTATTAAATTTTCTATTCTGTTTGTTCCCCATAGTAAATATTCTTGTCTTGTGAATCAAGAATATTGATAAGAACATCTTTGGTTTTTTGAAAAAAAGAATGAAAATGCCAGAGTTAGCTTCAATATAGTACTACCAGTCGATAAGGGATCATATTATATTCATTAATGATAATATGGATGGATGGAGCTATATGATAGACTTAATTATCAATTTTTAAATAATACGTCTATGTGCATGAGTGTTTTGCCTGTATGTGTGTATGTGTACCATGCATGTGTCGGGGGGGTGGTAACCCTAAAGGCCAGAAACAGAACCCCAGTGTAGGGTGCAGCACAAGTGAGCCTGGCAGGTCCCACTGCAGGTGGGGGACCGAGCGGTAAACAGAATACACTATGCAAAGAGAGCTTGGGGAGTATGGAGTTATATTTAGGAAGATGGTAGTGGGAGGATACGGGGGGGGGGGGGGAGAGAGAGAGAGAGAGAGAGAGAGAGGGAGGGAGAGGAGAAAGAGAGAAGGGCTAAGGTGGGCTTGCCTGGGCCGGAAGTGAGAGATTGTGACTGGGTGGAGCTTGTCTCTTAAAGGGACAGGGTATTGCCTGGGTTCATCCTGCCAGGTGACAGGGCAGGCCAGCGTAATCCTAACACGTAGACCCATAGTTAAAGACAATTATGAGTTGCCTTGTGGGTGCTGGGAACAGAGCATGGGTCCTCTGCAAGATCAGCAAGTGCTCTGAACTGCTGAGACATTTCTCTAGCCCCCACATTATGAATTTTGTAAACTGTCCTGCTGTAATGCATGCATTTTCTAGGAGGAAGATGTGCCTCTTGTTTCCTTCTGGCGGATCCTAAAGCTGAACATAACTGAATGGCCTTACTTAGTCGTTGGTGTGTTTTGTGCTGTTATAAGCGGATGCATGCAACCAGTGTTCGCCATAGTATTTTCAAGGATTATAGGGGTAAGTTTCCGTGGCCTTTTTGTGTATTTGTTGTGTTCACTGATGAAGAGCGAATGAATGGCTTCTATTTGTACTGTTGACAAGAAGCCTGAAAAACATGGCTTGAAGAGAGAATAGAAGTCTAATTTGTAAGAGGAAACCGAATTTTTTTATTTAAATTTTTTTTGAGACTTTCATGCAAGAGTACTGTATTTACATCATTTCCATCTCCTTTAACCTCCTCTAGCTCCTTAGATCTACTCCCCACCCACTCTCCAATTCTTTCACTCTTTCATAATTATTATTGTTATACACACACTCTCCTGAGTCTGGTTAGTGGATGAACACGAAGAAATGAGGATAAAAGACAGTTGACAGAATGAGCTGTCCTGTGGGAGTGGAAAGAGCCAGAGAACCAGGACATGGGAGCTGTACCCATGAAATCTCAACAATATAATTGCCTAAACAAGACCCATGTTATGACATACTAGTCAACATGCCAGTGTGGGTGGGGACATTTCACAAGGCCCCAGAATCAGTCAATGGCTGCTAAGAGACGGAGACTCCATTTTCTTCAGGGATGAGCTCCATGATACAGTATCCAGTCCCAAGTCCTCAAACAGCTTGGAACACTTTGAAATCTTCGCATAGTAAAATAATGAGTTGTTGAACAACGGTGTTCCTTACCAAGCTTCCAAGTGGAGAGAATTTATTACAATGCCTTCCATAGTAGTGTAGCACGCATTGATCTCTGTGGCCCCGGGGAAATGCTGGGTGAGTCTGTGAATGGCAGACGATCTCTGTCATGAAGAACAGATGCAGATGCCTTAGAGGCCAGCGTTCTGGAAGCCACCCTTGTTCCAAGATACAAAGTCTGTTTTGTCCCCCACACTAAGTGAGAGTGGGATGGCCTCCCTGAGGAATGCCTTCCTGAGCCATAGAACTAAGAACCCCTCAAATATTTTGTCACAGGTTTTCACAAGAGATGATGACCCCGAAACCAAACAACAGAATTGTAATTTGTTTTCACTGCTTTTTCTGGTCATGGGAATGATTTGTTTTGTTACATATTTCTTTCAGGTAAGTGTCTACATCGCTTCTGTATTCATTTTGGAAGATTTTGGAAACAAGTACTTACTTTTCCTGTTTGTATAGTTCCTCTTTCATCACCTGGACTGTACCAGTCCTGTGGCTCTACCTCCCCTTCTTGCTTCTTCCTCCTCTCTACCCTTTTGCCTACTACAGCCCTCGACCTGATCACAGTAGGGAGTGTTCAATGTGCTACAGAGTTTAGAACAGAGATGGAGACATGAGAATGGGAGCCCAAGATTAGTTTAGCATCCATCCCCTGTGTGTTTGGTGTCTGAGTTCCTGGCCAGCCTTCTGTGTGACGCCTTCTCATTCTTCTTAGGGCTTCACGTTTGGCAAAGCTGGAGAGATCCTCACCAAGCGACTCCGATACAATGTTTTCAAGTCCATGCTGAGACAGGTATGGCTGCTGTGGCTTGCACCCTGTGGTTGGGGAGTAGGAATTCTCTCTTGTGCTCCATGGACACAGATTGTAGGAGAGCTGTCAAGTTCCTTAGATAGAAATCCTGCACGGGTCTCCCTCAGCCTCCTCTTGAGATGCTGGTAAACCATCTGTCGATGTAGGATGCGGATGTGCACTCTGTTTGCTGCAGCCGGGCACAAGGAACCAGACTGAGTTGGGACAAATGGAGTCTCCAGAGTAGATTCTCCTCCAGGCTTTTGGTCCAGCGTTGAAAAACACAGAAACCAGAGTAATCTTCAATAGTGCTCATTCCCTCCTCCTTCTTTCTCCTGTGAGCCTGGGATACCCCCACCCATGCTTTTCATTCCACAGATCCAAGGGCATTGCCGTGAGCATCATCCCTCACTGCCTGGTTTCTTTGCTCCTCAAAGGCTAACATGACCCACATAAAGTGTTAGCTCTGCCTTGAGAGGACAGAGTGCACCTCACACTTCGCATCTTCAAGAACCTCAAACAGACAGCGAGCTTATTTTCCTTAACGAAGAATTTGGATTTGGGAAAAGTATCTCAGGACAGCCCAGTTGAAAGAGGAAAGATTTTTGGTTTTTATCAACTATGAGAAATTTACATACGACTTTAAAACTTTTAAGGCTGTGCTCTTCATGCCTTAGAATCAGTCTCTCCTGGAGCCAGGATCCAAACTCAGGCAGTGGTACTCCTGTTCATTCTGTTATGGTGGAGAATAGTCAGATATCACATGCTCTCCCAGAAATGAGAGTTTGGAACAGGGCTGCTCCCTCAAATGAGCCTAGTGTCTATTAGTGCTTTATCTATGGATGGATTTTCCAAATTCCCAAGACTTAGGGCCTAGCCCAAGGCAGATGTGAGTGGATTTGGGCTCCCAGTGGGTGTGTGTTTGGTACTTTGTCTCCTAGGCAGGCACCTTGCTGGCATGAATGATTAGGAAGGTTCCAGAAGTTAGTCATCACCAGGTTCTTCACCCTGTTTTTTTTTTTTTAACATTTATTGTTAAATAAAAAAATGTCCAGGCATCCTAGCCCAGGCAAGCCAGAGGCACTTGAACCCAGCTCCAAAGCATCAGTCTTCCATGCAGACAGTATCTTGGCTGTTATTTTGTTGTTATTTCAAGATTTATTTTAATTTTTGAAACTATGTCTATGTTGGGAGGGAGATGACAGGAGGGTGGGGCCTGCAGGCCGCTGTTCAGACTGAAACCTGATGACCCCTCCTGGTTAATGACCAGTCGCTCCTCAGCCTCCTCGCTGGTTTCATGGCCTCCATCCTCATCTTGGTCTGGAGGCAGTGTGCATCCAGCAGGGAAGTCTCTAGTCTCCACAGCTGCCAAAGGCCATGTGTAGCTCCCGTCTACCTCAGCTACAATGGCACCCCTGTCCAGACACCATAGGTAACTGCACAGTGGTGGTGGAAGAGAGGTTCAGGGGGATCACAATAGGACAAAAGAGTCCACAGGAAGAGGCTGGTTTAGAGACAAACACTGTGGGTTTGTTGTGTGTGTTTGGGCTACCACAGCCTGCTAGCTTTTGTTAAGACCGAGTGTGCCTCGGCTCAGGTCACTGCAAGTGCTGCATCATCTTCTCTTGGACACGCTCATCTCTTCCTTCCTTTGCATGTCTGCTCCCAGTCCCCTTAGAAATCCTTCCTGCCACTTCTCTGCCTTGTCCCTTACCCTTTGTCCTTCTTTAATATGTTTTTGTCCAGAGTGTTAGGTACCGTCCAGACAATGTGAATTTGTTTCCTCATGCCTTCTGTCTCTGGAGCTGAGGCTGTATGACAGCAATGTGTCACTCTTCACTGTTTAACACTTGGAGTTCTGCTGGAGACAAGGAGACATTTTTATATAAATTAACGAATAAAACAGTCCAGTTGTGTGTTTGCATATTAACTCTCTTCTGTCTGTTGAACATTAAATTCTGGATACTAAATGTGGGGATATGTGATAGCTGACACTGTCACTTTCTCCTGAATCTCAGAGTTTCATAAATAGGGCATTACGGTGAAAAAATACCTCTGTGTTACAGGACATGAGCTGGTTCGATGACCATAAGAACAGCACTGGCGCACTGACCACCAGGCTCGCCAGTGATGCTGCTGATGTGAAAGGGGTATGTGCTTCCTGGGGGTGATGTCATTATGTCGTCTTGATCCACAGCGTGAGATCCCTTTCCCTTAGAGCTGTTAGTGGCTGTCTTTAAGAAAATGTAAATAGGGGTTGGCAGACAAAAATGTAAATATTCATTTAACCCACTGGGATATCATTTGCATTGTAGCTAAGATATAAAATTAAATATATATTAAATATATATATATATATTGTATGGTATATAACTTCTAAGCATTCCTTTGATAAGATCCACTGAGAACAGTTATTAGAAAAGACCTGCTGTGTGTGGTATCCTGCCCAGAAGGCTCACTGAGTGTTGCTAGCAGAAGGGGAAGTACTAACAGTGGTCAGTCTGTCTTACTGCTCAGTTAGTCAATGGACAGCTGGCATGGTCAGTCTGTCTTACTGCTCAGTTAGTCAATGGACAGCTGTAATCGCTACTCAAGAAGGACACATGACCTCTTGTCAGGATGTTCTAGGCATATAGTTCAGAGAAGAAGGAAGAAAAGCTTCCTTAAAATGATTATAGGAAACAAAACACCTATTAAGAATTAGAGAAGGAATAACTTTGAATTCTCACATCAACAGATTTTGATCTCTGGCTGAAGTTACAGTGTCTTCTATAACCCGCCACTTCATAGCAATAGCCTTCAAGAAGATGGTGTGAAAATGCAAACATGTTCATTGTTGGGTCTCCCTCTGCCCTGAACTTGCTTTAGTGATCATGCTTTGGTACATAAAGATGTCTTTGAATTGAGGAATCAGTCATGGCTGGGGGGAGGTTCGGAAGGAAGGAGCACTTTCTCTGCAGGTTTGAATCCACAACATTCAACGTAAAAAAGCCAGGCATGACTGACTGCATATGCCTGTAACCTCAGCACTGGGGGGACAGGGATAGGTGGACCCCAGGAGCTTGTGAGCAAGCTATGGCTAATGTTTCAAGGCAGTAAGGCAGAGAACGGTAGCGGGATACACCCACATCCTGCTCTATCCTCCACATGGGTGAGTACGCCAGCATGCTCATGTACCTGCACCCCACAAACACGCGCATTCACCTCCAGACAAACACACCAAAGAAAGAAAAAGGAATCAGAATAGAGAAAAAAATGAGTTCTGGATTATTGATCCACTGTCCTATTTTTGTAGGAGTCGAGGAAATCCTCATTTTAGAAACACAAATTTAGTAACCAAGAAGAAAATTAATGTATTCACATGAAAGCAAATTCTCCTAAGTCGTAAGAGTACATGTATTTTACGGTTAATATAAAAATGTGTCTAATTTCTTATGTTTTTCAGGCTATGGGTTCCAGGCTTGCTGTAACTACCCAGAATGTAGCAAATCTGGGGACAGGAGTTATCATATCTTTAATCTACGGCTGGCAGTTAACACTTTTACTCGTGGTGATTGTACCCCTCATTATTTTGGGTGGCATTATGGAAATGAAACTCTTGTCTAGTCAAGCTCTAAAAGACAAGAAAGAACTGGAGGTTTCTGGGAAGGTGAGTCCAACAAAGCGCAATTCTTATCTAGCAGAAAAAGTTCCTTGGTGGTGATGTTCACCAGTTCCCTGTTGCTGGCTGCCCTGAGGATGCTGTCCTAACCATTCTTCCAGCAAACTTCAGTTTCCTGCAGATTCGTATCCGAAGAAAAGTGGGCAACGCCTCTCTCAGCTCAAAGCCTGGCAGCTGCTTTTCGTGGCTTTTCTGGTTTCAGGCTGCTGCCTCCACTTCCTCCTGCATTCCCTTCCATTCTTCTCTTTCCCCCTTTCCTTCTCTCCCCACCTTCTGTCTTTCTATCTTTCTTTCTTTAAGCCATTCCTGTATGCGGGGACATAGGCACATTTTGTTATGCATATTTGGGGAGATTCAGTATGGAAAAGTCCCAAGAGTATTGATTCGCTCCACTTTAGACTACTGCTTTCCTCTTTTCCATGCCCCCCTTTCTCTCACATCTGCCCTCTTTCCCCTGGTCCTGTTTGTTGTGCACCCTTAGCTATTTTTTTTTCACAGCTTAACAAATTCTTTTGTGGGACCTACTGGATTTCCTGGCAAATATTTTGTTTCTTGTACTGACCCGACCAGGTTGTTCTGCTATAAAGCTCTTAGGTGAGCCCGATGGGCACACAGGCTGTGCTCTTCACGCCTTAGAATCAGTCTCTCCTGGAGCCAGGATCCAAACTCAGGCAGTGGTACTCCTGTTCATTAGCTGGGAATCCACATTCTGTTATGGTGGAGAATACTCAGATATCACATGCTCTCCCAGAAATGAGAGTTTGGAACAGGGCTGCCCCCTCAAATGAGCCCAGTGTCTACTAGCGCTATATCTACGGATGGATTTTCCAAATTCCCAAGACTTAGGGCCTAGCCCAAGGCAGATGTGAGTGGATTTGGGCTCCCAGTGGGTGTGTGTTTGATACTTTGTCTCCTAGGCAGGCACCTTGCTGGCATGAATGATTAGGAAGGTTCCAGAAGTTAGTCATCACCAGGTTCTTCACCCGTTTCCCTGGAGTTTCTCTGAAAGAAAGCCGCATGGCCAGCTTTCTCGCCTGCAACTACTGTTTCCAGGGTCAGACTTCACAGTGTGAATGCCCTCGGAGTGCTCTGGCCTGAGCAACTGAGACCCAGCTTCCTAAGAAATAACTCCAGCTAACAGTGTGCTGGGGTTCTTTGTTTCTATGGTGAAGACTTTTCATTTGAAGAAAAGCATTGCGATTTTATAGCACTTATACGCTTCAAATGCCGTAGAGTGATGGTGGGAAGATGAACAGGCATCTGGTACAGGCCTGTGAAGGGACAGGCTTGTGAAGGGACAGGCTTGTGAAGGGACAGGCTTGTGAAGGGACAGGCTTGTGAAGGTGCAGGCTTGTGAAGGGACAGGCTTGTGAAGGGACAGGCTTGTGAAGGAGCAGGCTTGTGAAGGTGCAGGCTTTTGAAGGTACAGGCTTGTGAAGGTGCAGGCTTGTGAAGGTACAGGCTTGTGAAGGTGCAGGCTTGTGAAGGTGCAGGCTTGTGAAGGTACATGCGTGTGAAGGTACAGGCGTGTGAAGGTACAGGCTTGTGAAGGGACAGGCTTGTGAAGGAGCAGGCTTGTGAAGGTGCAGGCTTGTGAAGGTACATGCGTGTGAAGGTACAGGCGTGTGAAGGTGCAGGCTTGTGAAGGTACAGGCTTGTGAAGGTGCAGGCTTGTGAAGGTGCAGGCTTGTGAAGGGACAGGCGGGTGAAGGAGCAGGCTTGTGAAGGTGCAGGCTTGTGAAGGGACAGGCTTACTTCAGCATGACTGAGGAAAGCGGCACAGTTGGACATGGATGTGTCTGTCTATGGCAGATTTTCAGAGTCACGGTCAGGCTCTAATTCAGTGGTAGATCCTAGAAGGGAGTACAGTGCATAGAGACTCTGGCGGTGGCTATTCCAGCCATCTACTTAATATTAAAAATCAAGCTCATTGTTCTAATTCTCAGGTTGCTATTTATTATTAAATAGATGGCCTATAGCTGCCATCACATTATGAGCTGTATGTGTATTCTCTCACTTAAGGCTGTCAGTAACTGTGCAGAATTGTCCCTATTGGACAGATGATAAAGCCCAAAGTTTAGAGAGATCCTGGGTCGTGTCAAAAAGCCACAAGGTAGTGGAGGTCTCACTGATCTAACTCTCTAGACTTCTCCTCCCGTATTCTTCATTCTTCACATGAGCCCGTTCTCATATCTCTTAGATCCAGATTGGGTCACGCTAGCTCCAGTCTCCTCCTGTATTGCACATTCTCCACACGAGTCCATTCTCATATCTCTTAGATCCAGATTGGGTCACGCTAGCTCTAGTCTCTTCCTGTATTCTACATTCTCCCCACGAGTCCATTCTCATATCTCTTAGTTACAGATTGGGTCGTGCTAGCCTGTGCTTTAAATCTTGCAGTGACCTTTAACAAGCTGCACACAGTCCAAGCTTTTTTTCCCGGCTGCACACCCGATGTGGTCCAGTCCTTGACTGTTCTTTCCTTGCACTGTGGTCGTCATTGTCCGCACTGCTGCAGCCACCAGGAGCTGTGCAATTCCTATCACACGACTCTGCTTCCCTTGGACCGCATGGACGACTCATTTCCATCACTCAGGTTTTTGAGCTGTGTTTTCAGAGGCCACACACTTACTGAATGTGTGCCTCCTCGGATGTTTCTGTCCTGTTTCTTTGTTAATGAATGGGGTGTATTCCTTGCTAAAACTTAAGTTCCATGAAGGACAAGCCTGTTTCTGATGATTTGCCTCTAAAGAAATGAGGTAAGCTTGAGATTTCTAAGCCGTTCTGTGTAATTTCACAGAACCCATACTCAAGTGTGTGATGTCAAGGGCTGCTCATATCCCAGCAATAGAATGTCAGGGCCTTCTTTTGTCCTGATAGTATGGTGTTGCAGACTGTCCTTGTTAGCCGGAGTCATGGTGTCTGGGAAGACAGAGCTGCTCACCATTCTCACTCTGTGCTGTCAGAACACGCTCATAGCTCATAGCTCCACTGTCTATGGCGTGTTCTTGGCAGTGTGCAGTCTTGTTCGTATGGACTGATGAGCACTACTGAAAACATGTAGGGATTTTCAGTCTTGAAAGCCATAATCAAACATGATTTTTTGAAGGCAGGAGGAAGAAGGTAAAGAAGTCATTTTTTTCCCCAAAATCATGTATGTTCCTTTCTCCCAAGTTATTTAGTAAATGATACTTTCTGAATGAAACAGTACTATTTTTTTACTCTTCCAACTAAAAATTCTTCATTTAGGGAATTACTTAGTCTTTAAAACTTGTGGAGATTGAAGCTGTAAGGGTACCAGCTTCTAGTTCAGGTTTTTCCTCATCGCCTCATTGCGCCTCAAAATGGAGAGATAATTCTGTAGAATAGAATGTCATTCCACTGACCATATGAAGCCTGTGCTCAAACTCTCATTTCTATCAGCGATACCCGGGGCCTTGCGCAGGAAGTCTTTCAGACATTCATTAAATTTGACCGTGGAACTTGTTTCCCATCGCCCTTCGCTGCGGCTTCTTCAGTTGTCTGACTAACCTGGCGCAGGGGTTCAAATAAGAACCCCTGTGATTAAAAATAGTTCAATGTATCTGAACAACGATTTCTGGATCATTTTTTCCTCTACCATCTTACTTTCCTTATTCTCAGGGTTTTCTAAAATGCATATGTGTTTGGTGTGTGTATGCAGTTGTACATGAGTATGGGTGCTGTGCATATGCGTGGGGAGCTCAGGCTCGGGTCATTTCCCAAGAACCATCCTCCTTGTCTGTGAGGCAGAGTCCCTCCCTGGGCCCTAGAAACCACTGGTTACATTAGATTAGCTCAGCCAGTCCCCAGGGTCCTTCTCTCTCCACTTCCCCAGTGCTGATATCACAAGTAGAGGGAGAGAGAAAGCGTGTGTGTGTGTGTGTGTGTGTGTGTGTGTGTGTGTGCATGTGCCTGTGTATGGGTGTGTGCATGTGTGTAGTGACCATCCAGAAAAATGATCTGTGATAGCCATACCTTCAGATTTAAGTGAACTTATAAAGTGGGCAGCTAGCAAACCAAAGTACAAAAATAATAGCAACTAGCAGATAGACAGAAGCAAAAGATAGCTAGCAATACAGCATCAAATAAAATACTCCAAGCATACAACAGAAATGACTGACGTAGACTGCTTCAGAGAGCAAAGAAAGGTGACAGCAAATCAGAGCTTAAAGTATTGAGTAGAAATCGCCTGGAGAAGAAACAGCCGTGCTGGAGTTACAACTCTTCCACCCATAAATGAGCTTCTTCTAGAGGACTGGGTTCCCAGCACCCACACAGCAGCTCACAGCCATCAGTAACTCCAGTTCCAGGGCATCTGATGCCCTCTTCTGTCTTTCATGGGCATGGCATGCAAGTGGTGCACAGACATACAAAGACACTGATATTGATAACATAAAGTGATTTTTTTATCTCCTCTTCATATTTAGATAATTTGTACAGGATTCAGTGAAAAATAAGTGGATTTCATATTTGGGGTATTGTTCTACAAATTATGACATAATGGAATGTGTCCTTATTAAAATCAGGTCTGACCGGTGAAAGCCTGAGAGAAGAGTATCTAAGGAACTTCTCTTGGTGACCTAGAGTTTTAGAGCTAAAGAAATGGTAGAGAGCTTCTATCTCTCCCCTTCGTTTTCCAGATGAGAAGCCACATACAGAGTAAATTTGCAGGAAAGTAGAATTGGAGTAGGTCATGTTAAATAAGAAAAAACAAATGTGTTTTATTCCGTGTGTAGAATATGTTAAAAGATGAGAGAGAAATGTATGGACCCAGGAAGGGTTGAGGAGAGGGTGGAAAGGAAGATGGACATGATATGTGAATATATGGAAATGCCAGAGAATCCTGTTCATCTGTACAACATTTGTTGATGACAAACAGGATTTACTGTCTTTGACCTAGTGATTTAACTTTTAAAAATTTTTCCTAAGTAAATTATTTCATGCCAGTAAATCCTCACATTCAAAGATATCTATGGGAATAAGAATTGAAAGTGCTGCTAGGGCTGAAAACAGGTGCATTGTTTAGGTTGTCTATGGTACCCACTGCATGTATTCAGGAACCTTGGAATGCTCTTTACCAACGACAGTATAGATTCAGAATCCACTTTATCATTAGCCATAGGTAAACTTGGGGGAAGAGCACTGCTTACGTGAAGGTCTCAAATGCTGATGTGGAACGGTTTATTTTGTAGCATATTCCAGATAGGTCTTAAAGCAATGGCACTTATAGATAAATATCACATTTTAAAAATATGCAAAACAAAACAAAAAATATGTAAAGCCAGTGCATGGCAGTATTAACCGCACCCAGACGGAGTGGGAAGTTTTCAAATTTTAGGTCAGTCTTGCATATTTTGCAAGACCCTGTCTCAAATAAACGAATAAACAAGCTAAAGCAATTGAAGGTTGAAATACATCCACTGTGTAAGAAAGCACTGTAAAAAACATACTGAATTCTCAAGTACCTCTTTTAAAACCAAGTAAAGACAGTGGCTTTAGGCCATCTCTCTAAAGAGGGGGGAAGATTAGTGGATGTCCCATACAGACCTGAAGTCTAGTTTGAGAAATTATTTAATATTCTTTTTCAGTAAAGAAGATGCTCATAGATAATACTACATGCTAAATACATTGTAGCAACTTATTTTATTAACGATATTTATAGATTTCAAAAGAGATCCTGTTGGGTCTTGTGCCTGTTGTTTTACAGATCGCTACTGAAGCCATAGAGAACTTCCGCACTGTCGTCTCTTTGACTCGGGAGCAGAAGTTTGAAGACATGTATGCTCAGAGCTTGCAGATACCATACAAGTAAGAAGCCCTGAAGAGTGGGCCAGGGCTCTGGGGGGTTTTCTAGTGAGGACTTCCGTTCTCAGGATCGCTTTTGCCAAAAGGTAGAGTGAACAGAAGAAAGTACTAGAAGGAACGCCTGAGACTATCAAGAGAGAGGAAGAGACCTGAGCTTAGGCAGGGGCATCTGTGAGGTAGAGCAGTGAGGGCTGGTGACACTGGGGAGGTCAGAGAAGAGGACCACGGGTAATGCCTCTGCTGTCCAGTCGGGATGATGACCCTGCTGTTTGCTGTATTGGGGGGGGGGGGTTCTCTATGGAGGTGTTGTGGGACACTGAGGGGATCTCTCCAGGATACTTTCTGCTCCTTCCTTTCCTGGGGAGACCTTCTCTTCTCCCTGTACCCCAGCAGTACCTATGACAGCTCTGAAGGAAAGGTGACCAGGACACTAGCGAGCCCAGCCTCGGAGTCTCAGCTCCTCCTCTAGGACAAGGAGAGAACTAAACCTCTCTTGAAGGTTTCCAGGCACCTTTGTCATGATCATGGCAGGCCCTCTTTTTCTGAGGAAAGTTTTCATTTGAAATCCCAGTAAGTTGCCAGGTGGTGGTGGTGCAAGCCTTTATTCTGAGCACTTAGGAGGCAGAGGAGGGTGGATCTCTGTGAGTTCCTGGTCTACAAGTTCCAGGACAACTTGGACTTACACAGAGAAACCCTTTCAAGAAAGAAAGAAAGAAAGAAAGAAAGAAAGAAAGAAGAGAGAGAAAGAAAGAAAGAAAGAAAAGAAAAGAAAAGAAATCCCAGTAAGTGGCAAAGACAAGAAAGTTGGTGGTTTTAGCAGGATAGGAAGGTCAAGGGGCTGCCCATCCCCACCCTTTTCCTGCCCTCACCTCACACCCAAGATCCTTGTTCAGACATTCCTGGAATGTTAATGCTTTGTAAAGCCTCCCTGGCTCTAGGCACTTCAGTGCCTTTTGCTTCCGCCCCCCCCCCCTCCCCCCCCCAAACTTCCTGGCTGCTTTGTTGCTGTACACCTCATCTAGATCCCCACAGGCAAGGACAGGCCTGCTGCTCTGCCACCCACAGCTGGAGGGTGTTGGGTAGGTGTGTTGATTCCCCAAGTGGGGGTGGGGGGTGGGGGGGAAATAGGGAAGGACCATTCATTTGTTAATGTAAAACAGGCTCTTCTCAGGGTTACAGGTCTGGTTATAAACCCACTAAGACATAATAGTCCTACACTAAAGACGAATTCACCTCTGCCTCTGTATCTCAGAGACCAAACCGGTTCAGTTAAAGGGCTCAAGCTGAATTCTTTAGAAATGGAATCATTGTATCTGTTCCTCTTGTGTGTCCCTCCACCAGCCCACAGGAAGTTACTTGAATGACTGAGAGATGAAGTGGGGTGAATTTGGGTTTTCTTCTTTCCAGAAATGCTTTGAGGAAAGCTCACATCTTTGGGATCACGTTCTCCTTCACCCAGGCCATGATGTATTTTTCCTATGCTGCGTGTTTCCGGCTTGGTGCCTACTTGGTGGCTCATGAACTGATGACTTTTGAAAATGTTATGCTGTAAGTATTGGGTTCTTAAACAGACAATTATTTGATATATTGTTTTGTTCCAAGCTTTTGAACCAATGAAATTTTATGGAACAGCACATTTGTAAAATACTTCTAATTAGTAAAGGCCAGAGGTGAAAGACCCTCGAAGAGGACCTTCCCTCAGGAGGAGACCCCCTTAATCCCAGAAACAGTCCGAGACCACAGGCTGCAATGAGCATGAGGTTTATTGGTTATACACAGATACCTGCGGGTGGAAGTCTCTTCGGAGGACTTGCACGCCTGCAGACTGGGAAAAGGTCTTTTTATAGGCAAAAGAAAATTACAGAAGCAGATGCGTGGTTATTGGTTGGTTGGAATGAGGCAAGGGGCATAAGTGGTTTTTCCCTTCCCAGCACAGATATATGGCAACAGATATCCTGTTTCTTTTTACAGATATCCTATTGTATAGATGTCCTATTTTACAGATAACCTGCTTTGCAGCCAAGGGCCCTGACCTCACTCTGTACTTACATTTGTTTGTCAAAGCCTTGCGAAATGATGTTACAGCAGCTAAGCTGGGGTCTTTCATAGGGGCGACTGTTCCTTTTGTAAACTGCTAATATTCTAAGTTTGGCACATGTGCTGACTACAGGTATCCTGTTTTCCTAAGCAAACGGGATGTTCTCATGAGAGCCGGCTAGCTGCAGGTCCTGAGAGGGTCCTGAGGATCTCAAGCAAACAAGATGTTCTCATGAGAGCCGGCTAGCTGCAGATCCTAAAAATCTTTTAAACAAACAGGACGTTCTCACGGGAGTATGCTAGCTGCGGGTTCTGGGGGGGGGGGGGGGGGGTCTGTAGGATCTTTCAGAGGAACCTTGTAAAAAGAGTCCATTTAAAAAAGATGCCATGCCATCAAACTGGACCCTCTGAATGTGGCTGACAATTAAGGCAGACTGAGAAGCCAATGATAATGGCACTGGGATCTGTTTCTACTGCATGTACTGGCTTTTTGGGATCCTAGTCTATTTGGATGCATAACTTCTTAAGTCTGGATGGAGAGGGGAGGGCCTTGGACTTCCCACAGGGCAGAGTACCCTGCCCTCTCTTAGGACTAGAGGGGGAAGGGAAGGGTGTGTAGGGGAGCAGGAGGGAAATGGGAGGAGGGGAGGAAGTGGACATTTTGATTGGTATTATTTATAAAGTAATAAAAAAGATTAATTACAAGAGTTGGGGCAATGTGGAAAGGAGCAGAGGAGGAGGACAAATAAGCCCAAAGCACATACACACACTCATGTATGTATATGTGTGGTTATATGAAAATGCCATAAGGAAGTCCATTACTTTGAATTCTAATTTAAATCTATAATGAAATAAACTTATGTGAATTATGCAAAAAAAAAACAAAACCCAACAAGATCCCATGCTAGGCCATGGTGGCTTATGCCTTTAATCCTAGCACTTGGGAGGCAGAGGCAGGCGGATCATAGTGAGTTCAGAGAAACCCTGTCTTAGGAAACCGAATCCCACCAAATGAAAGAGTTTGAATAATATATGAGGAAAATTAGCTGTCCGTGTGTCTTATTGCAGTATATTTTTAGTATGTCTATAGAGCCAGTGTTCTGCTTTGTGCTTTTCCCGGCTCGCTGCTGATGACATACTGAAATGCACATAGAGAAAGGCGGTGACTGGTCACCAACAAAGCAGAAGGCCTATTGGCTGATGTTCCGGTACGTGATGATAATGTAAGCTTAGCAATAGATTTAATCCAACACGGTACCTATTAAAACAGAAGATGCAGGTCAGTTTAAGGAAGTGTCTAGGCATAAACATTGACAATAGGCCTGACATTGCTAAGGTCCTTTCTGGTCTGTGCTATGATAACAATGTTTCAAATGCAGATGCATTTTAGCAGCTGCTTGGCATGATACAGAAGGAGATTTTTTTTTCACGTTTCGTAGGTTTTGTGAGAATATGATGCCATTCCAACAGCCAGCCACACTGGTTCAGTGACATTGACATGGAATTAAAAACATTTGTTTTGTGCATAAGTCAGTTGTGCTGATCTGAGTTGGGCATAAAAGCTCTCATCCACCCTCACTTCTTTGTTAAAGGAAACTCTAGATAGTTGGCTTGGGAAATGTCAAGGATGTCCTCTGTGTATGCTTTATCTCACAGCTGCCTATGGTGGGGGGAGGAGGGAATATAGAGATGGAATGAACAAGCATGGGGAGCATACAAGACCTCAGAGTCACAGACCTCCAGCTGAAAACCCTATCTTCTGCCGTTTCTGTTGACTGAAGGAAGTCTTGGGACAAACCCAGATGGAAAGGGTTGCAATCCACACTTCATTTTCAAACAGAAGTATTTGCAAAGGTCAGAGGGAGAGAGAGAGAGAGAGAGAGAGAGAGAGAGAGAGAGAGAGAGCTGAAACTGTGGACTGTTGGAAGCAGCTGCACTGCCACGCAAGGAAGAGTGTTTCATTGAAAGCTGTTTTGTTTTACAGTGATTTGATGTCGTTCTTCCCAGTGAATTTGCTGCTGTTTTCACTCCCCTCCTCTAGAAGTGTCAGTTGTGTTTTGGAATATATGCTGATTAAGAATGAGAATTATGCATAAAGAGCATCTTGAGGTGATGCACTCTGTTCTCTGGGTGCAGTAGTTCCTTCGCGGTGAATGTGATAAAATATCCTGACAAAGGCAACTGAAAGAGACGGAGTTATCCAGGCTCACAGTTTGAGGGGCTACAATCTATCATGACAGAGGCCTGGTAGCAGGAATGAGGACAAGGCCAGTGGGTCATATTACCTCAGCAGTCATGAGACAGGGAATAGACCGGAAGTTAGGACAGGATGTAAAACTTTAAGGCCTGTCCCCAGTAACCCACTGCTCCTGCAAGTTTCCAACTCCTAAAAGTAATACAACCTTCCAAACGGAGCTTCCAGCTGGGGTCCAGGTGTTCAAATCACAACCCTGGGTACCTTTGCATTCCTCCCTAAAATTTAAAATATGACAATGACTTCCTTAGTCATTGTTCTGATGCGTACTAACGATGCTGACATGAAGCTGTGCGGTCATTGTTCTGATGCGTACTAACGATACTGACATGAAGCTGTGCGGTCATTGTTCTGATGCGTACTAACGATGCTGACATGAAGCTGTGCGGTCATTGTTCTGATGCGTACTAACGATGCTGACATGAAGCTGTGCGGTCATTGTTCTGATGCGTACTAACGATACTGACATGAAGCTGTGCGGTCATTGTTCTGATGCGTACTAACGATGCTGACATGAAGCTGTGCGGTCATTGTTCTGATGCGTACTAACGATGCTGACATGAAGCTGTGCGGTCATTGTTCTGATGCGTACTAACGATGCTGACATGAAGCTGTGCGGTCATTGTTCTGATGCGTACTAACGATGCTGACATGAAGCTGTGCGATCATTGTTCTGATGCGTACTAACGATACTGACATGAAGCTGTGCGGTCATTGTTCTGATGCGTACTAACGATGCCGACATGAAGCTGTGCGGTCATTGTTCTGATGCGTACTAACGATGCTGACATGAAGCTGTGCGGTCATTGTTCTGATGCGTACTAACGATGCTGACATGAAGCTGTGTAGTCAGACAGGTCAGCACTGCTCTATTTAATAGTGTTCAGAAAGAAAGTTGTTTTTTGTTGTTTATCAATTTGTGAATGAAATCACGAACACGTGAAAAGGAAGCAAAACAATCTCATGATGATGTTTTTTACAAAGAATGTGAGCAGTGTGCCACAGCTGCCAGATGTTGGTATGTGGCAAGGGACACAGGTGAGGGCCTTAGGTGTGGCCTGAGATCTGGGAGAGTGGAGTGGGTGTTGTCTGGCCTGCCTGGAGAGGAGTGTGTGAGCGCATCTCTTCATTCTTGTCTGAAAGCCACAGCTCTTGGCACAGTGCTCTAATCCACTCCAATAAAGAAGGAGTCCTTTGGGGAACCAGGTGGACTTCTTTCTAAAGGGTCCCCACTGACAGTAAAGTGAGAACCATAAGTTGGCCACGGCTGCAGGGAACATCTCTTCTCTCTTTTTTAGGGAACCAGAGCATTAGGAGAATGAGGTCAGCTCCCAGCTGTGGTCCTTCATCTTCTGTTGTACTCATGTGATTGTTAGTGGGGCTAAGCGGGCGGTAAGAGGTATCACCTGGGCTGGCTCTGGAAGGGACAGTGCGGTGTCTTCATACTTGTTCTGTAGATTTCCTCTCTCTCCAGGACAGTGGTCACTCAGCATCCTGCTCCTGGTGTAGAACTGTCAGGTTGCTTCCACAGCACACATGTTCCTTTTCCTTTCTGTCTCAGGGTATTTTCAGCTGTTGTCTTTGGTGCCATGGCGGCAGGAAGTGCCAGTTCATTTGCTCCTGACTACGCCAAAGCCAAAGTGGCGGCATCGCATATCATCATGATCATTGAGAAAGTTCCTGAGATTGACAGCTACGGCACTGAAGGCCTGAAGCCGGTGAGTCTGTTCTTTCAGTTACGTGATCTCTAACCCCATGGATAAAGTGGTTGAGGAAAAATTTAATGAAATATGTACTTTTTAATATATTGATTGTAATACAGAATTTTCTAGCCCATGGGTTTATTTTATTAAATACGAATGTGTATAAAAACCAGTACACAGAGAGATAAAAATGCTATCCTCTTTATAGGCAGATTATGGAAGAAAAGCTTTTTGCATTTGTTATATATTTGATTGGTGTCAATGCCTTGTGGCATTAATACATTGATTTTCTTTTTTAAAAAGTTGTTTTAAATTCCATTTTTATTTAGTTGTGTTGGTGTGTGGATATTCACCTCCCACAGTGTACCTGTAGAGATCAAAGGACAACTTTAGGAGCTGGTTCTCTCCTTCCACCTCGTGGATCCTGGGGATTAAACTCAGGTTGTCATACTCAGCAATAAGGTCCCTACCCACTAAACCATCTTGCTGGCCAAGGCATTGATTCTTTTAGAGTCCACTTATTCAGTTCTATCAATTTGAAATGAAGGCTAACCACCATAGAATCTCACTGCATCTGTCTAACCAGTTGACTGGAGTCTCTTTGCTCTCCATGGATAGAGTCCGTGAGCACGTAGGCTAGAACTCCCACTGTTAGGAGTCCTAAGCCCTTGAGTGCCTACATCACAGGGGACTAGCAGGTCCCAAGCTTTGGGAGCTGGGGTGCCTATTGCTGGAGACTAGGGAGACTAGGTGCTCGTGTTAGGTGTTTATTGCTCTGGCTTTAATCACCAACTGTCCCAGTAATCTGAAACTATTGTTAAGTCTCACTGACCAAGAGCAGCGGGCAGAGCAGCATGTCGGACTTGCTAAGTACTGCAGCTGCTGGGCAGGACTCCAGCAGTAAGACCCTCGGCTCCTGCAGCAGTTAGCGTTACAGGTCTGGAGCCTATGGTGCAGGACTTTGGTTCTTCTAACAGCGGAAGCCTAGAGTTTCTGATCTGTGGTCCTGTCCTCTCTCCCTGCACTTCCCAACCATGTCATCCTCTAGAAACTCTTCTGTGATACTGCAGCCATTGCTCCGCTGCTGCTGCTGCTCTGGTCTCTGCTCTGTGATGTCAGCCCAGTCCGCTCTGCTGACGAGAAAGAACAAAAGTCACAAGCAAAGACCTATCTATCAAGACTCTGATGACAGTAATTACAGACCTTCTGCTGGGCCACTAGTACCAGTACTGGTACCACTAGTACTCCCCTGCTGTCCTGGTGGAACATGCTTGCTGGAGACCCTTGTGACTTCCACAGCAAGCTGTCTGGAGCAGTTATTGCTGGAAATAGTGCTCCTCCCCCCATTGAAACTGTGCTTTTGCAGCAAGCAGCTGTAATTGCAATACTTCTTTCTTCAGACATTCATGTGTACAATGCAGCCAAAATGGCATGAAGACAGTCCAAGCAGTTGTCAAAGGGGCTGCTAAGCTGATGGTCTTCTGCTCGAGGAAGCCAGATAGAGAAGGGCCAGGCAAATAGCCTATTTTTGGACTCTTTTAAGTCATTCATGGTAAGGACTGAAAGGGTGCATACAGTAAAGACTGAGTACTCAGCACAGATAACAGTGTTTAATAGTATTTAACACTACTTGAAGACCACCCTAGTGCTCACGGCAAGGTGGGTCCTTTTGATCTGTTTCACCTGGCAGCCGGACAGAGCTACGGCCGGCTATACTCTGTTTTCATATTGTTGGAATCAAATTGACTACTGCTGTTATCATCCTAGAATTGGTTAGAAGGAAATGTGAAATTTAATGACGTCATGTTCAACTATCCCACCCGACCCGACATCCCAGTGCTTCAGGGGCTGAGCCTGGAGGTGAAGAAGGGCCAGACGCTGGCCCTGGTGGGCAGCAGCGGCTGCGGGAAGAGCACAGTGGTCCAGCTGCTGGAGCGATTCTACGACCCCAGGGCCGGGACAGTGGTGAGCACACTTTTGTGTTCAGATCATCTTAGGTTTCATCATGTAATGCCTGGATATTATTAACTCTTGGTTATAAGCCATGTTTTATTTTTCTCTCATATCTTTAAATAATAACCCTACCAAGAAACATCCTCTAGCTAAAGTTGGGTGCGTAAGCTGTACAGTCAGCTCTAGACACCTTCTCCATCAACAGGGCTCCCCCGTTTTCCCTCACAAGCAGCCTGCTTACCACCCATCTCCCTTGCCAGAGGCAAACATCAAACATTAAAGTAGCTTTTAAAAGAGAAAAGAGGTCTAGGGGTGACAGGGAGATAAAAGCCAATTACTGTGTTTCCAGAAGGGAAAGATGTCAGTGAGGACAAGAGGGAGTTTGTAGCAGGCTTTGTCTTTGGGCTGCCCGCCAGCTCCCAAATAAAGACATGGAGACTTAGCAGTTATGAGTGTTCGGCCTTATCTTATGCTGGTCCCACTCGCTTTTTTAACTTAATTTAACCTGTTTTCCTACCATCTACATTTTACCTCAGGGCTTTTTTATCTTTCTTTCATTCTGCATGTCCTCCATTTCCTCTTTCTTCCGTGTGTGGCTGACTGATGGCTGCCTGACTGGCTGACCCTGGGTCTTTCCCCCTTGGTCTGTCTTCACACTCCTGCTTCTTCTCTATGCATGCCAGCCCTACCTATCCCTCTTCTGCCCACCTATTAGCCATTTAGCTTTTCATTAGACCAATCAGGTGCCTTAGACAGGCAAGGTTAAACAGCAGCACGTCTTTACATGATTAAACAATCGCAGCAGAAGCAAGGTAATACATGTTTACATCACTAAGCAAACGCAGCATAAACACATATAACACATCTTTGCCTCCTTAAAGTAATCTTCCACAAGAGGAGTTTGGGTAAGATGAGGACGGAGAAGCGTGGTGACATGAAGTGGCAATTTAATGGCCTGTCTTACCACTCCGTACTCTCAGTAAATAGGTAATGGGAAGAAGGATGGTTGGGAGGAAACATGGAGATTTAGGGGAGTGTGGACTCTGAATCAGTCAACATTGGAAGAGGTAAGAAGGAGCAAGGTGGGAGGCCCTTGAGGGAGCAAGCTTGGAAGGAGAAATCTGCAGGCCCCTGGAGATGGCTCAGCAGTCACTGCACTCACTGCTCCTGCACAGAACCCAGGTTCAGTTCTAAGCACCCACATGGTGGCTCACACTGCCAGTGACTCCACTTCCAGGGGACATGGCTTCTTCTGGCCTGTTTGGAGGGCCATTCTTGTTTATTACTGCGTGGGTCAAAAGCCAAATTTAAATCATGAGAAATGGGGTATTTCCCCAATGTGCACACTTTTATGTCTTTGAACAAGCCTTAAAAACCCAAAGTAATACAAGCAAAACTCCTCTCATCTCCTGGCAACCCACAGTCTTAAAGTATAAAATAACGGTGCAGTTTTGCTTAATCTGAGTCCTACTGATTGTGATGTTGGTCTGTGAATCTGTGCTCCCAGTTTCTCGATGGCAAAGAAGCAAAGCAACTGAACGTGCAGTGGCTCCGAGCACACCTAGGCATTGTGTCCCAGGAGCCCATCCTATTTGACTGCAGCATCGCCGAGAACATCGCCTATGGAGACAACAGCCGGGTCGTGTCCCAGGATGAGATTGAGAGGGCGGCCAAGGAGGCCAACATCCACCATTTCATCGAGTCACTGCCTGACGTATGTCTCTCTCCAAATTAAGATTATTAAAGGAAATTTAGCAGCCAAAACCTACTCCAATATATACAGAGATCGGGCTATAATTTCCTTCGCCTGTCAGACATTACATTTACTTGATTGAACTGAGAGTCCTTGTGAGGAAGGAACCAAGCGTCACCCCCACTCAGGAACTGTCCAGACCCATGGCTTAGGGGCAGGAGGCACGACTCCTCCGGGGGCATAGTCCCAGTCCTCCAAGTCTGAGTGAAGGACTAGGCAGCCATGTCTGTGTCTTCTGATTCTGCCCCCCCCCCCAAAAAAAAGCAGCCATTTCTGTCTCTCCCCATTCTCCATTTCTATCCTGTCCATCACTGCGCAGCTCCTCTACAGGCTGCAAGCCTCACTCTGGAGTTAGGCCTGGCAGGTAACTGGACCATGCCAGAAAGATGGCTCTCTATAGCTAGGGCTGAGTCACTGGGAAGCCTGCGGTATAGTGTGGTTTCTTACCATTGTGAGTTTCCTAGGCCCCAGGCTACACTTATGCAGTTGATTATTTAAATGTTCCCTAGGCTCTTGTCCCCTGTGACTACTTCTCCCTTCTTCGAGTAAGTTAGATAAACGGCAACACTGGCTCTATCTTAAGCCCTTTTAGGTATTTTAGTTTTCTTGTTTTTACTTTTTGTGTATGGGTGTTTTGCCTGCATGTTTACCTGTTCACCACATTGAACTTGGTGTCCACAGAGGCTAGAGGAGGACTTCATATGTGTAGGCCTGGAGTTACCGACAGTTGTGAGCTGTCGTGTGTGCTGGATATTGACTGGAAGAACAGCTAGTATTTTTAACCCCTGAGCCATCTCTACAGCTCCAGGTCTCACCCAAATAATATACCTCCTCCAATTATCACTAGTTAAGTTACTTATTACAGGAAATGCCCTCTACAAAATAAGGTGGAATAGTTTCAAGCCATCCAGGAAGGAGAAGGTCAAGAGCAAATGGCCCTAACTCTTCCCGAGTTATGTCTCTTCATGTGGCTCCTCCACAGATAGCTGGGCCTGCTGCACACATAACAGGGAAGGAGATCTGTCCCCTTTCCCTCTGCAAGGTAGTCCAGCCATGGTGATTGACTCTTGAGACTGAAATATTCAAAGTATAAGCCTACAGAGCCCGTTACTAACGAGGTTTACTGCTTGTCAAGGCTTGAATCTTCCCCTTAGAAGCTGCTATAAATGCAGAATTGTCAGTCCCTATATTAGCTCTTCTGAATGGAAAAACAAAAGGATAAAAGCCTGTCAGTCAGGCCCAGCCATTGACAGCGACACAGAGTAGAAGACACAGCAGGGACCAGCTTTCAGGACTCCTGATGTACCACTGGTCATTACATCCCATTCTCTGAGCATCTCCTTCCGAGTGGTTAGTCCTAGCCTTACCCTGCCACAGTGTGTATCCTCAGTCCTCCATCCTCTCTGCTCCCTAAGGATCGCTACTGAGTCAATATAGTCTGGTAGTTCTGCACTCACTCGGGCCAGGACACATCAAAGCATCTGGATTCTGGGGCTGCCATAGCTCAGGGGTGAAGCCTGTTCCAAACATGATTCCATCCTCGCCAGAGCTCTCCTCAAATGCTGAGCTTGTTCTGCCCACCATAGAACTGGAGTTGTCAAACAAAACAAAGAGGCAGCCTTGTGTCGAGCATGAATTTTATAGTTAAGTTCACAAGGGTCAGAGCTGTGCATGAGACTGATCCTAGCCTGCCAAAGGCTACAAATAAATAAGGCTGTGTATTTCCTGGTTCTGCGTGCTGTCACGCCCTCTCCTGCTCTCTGATATTAGTCTCTTAGCCCATGTCTTTGTCACTGTACATGATAATCTGTGACAGTTCTCTGCTGTTGAGACTGATAGGGAAGGGTTTTGGAAGACTCTAGAATCAGATAAAGAAGGATCTGTTTTCAACTTAATGGAATTCCTCATCAGATGAAAATCATTTAACTGCTGGGGGTAATTTAGTAGAAACACCAAAAGGCTAATATTCTAAAGATTTCTTCACTCAGTTAAAGTCATGCAGAGGGTGTCACCTGCTGGTGACAAAACATTTCTCGTGTTGTGAGCATCTGTTCAAATCATTTCCTTTCTCCTGTCTATCTTCGTTACAAACACAATGAAGCAGGGAGAAGGGACAATTGGGATTGCCGATTTCTTTCACGGAGAAAGCGGGGCATATAATTTTGGGAGCCAATTTTCTGTTTTCAAAAGGAGAGATTAAACCTACCAATTAGAGCTGTTTTCTGGGTTAACTGTTTAGCTTTCTGTGAACCTATTTTTAGCCTCTGAATCTAAATTTATCTAATTTTTCTATTTACTGTGTCACACTGTGTTTGCACTTCATCGTCAGCTCTGTTTTCATTCACAGAAATACAGCACCAGAGTAGGAGACAAAGGGACTCAGCTGTCGGGTGGGCAGAAGCAGCGCATCGCCATAGCGCGCGCCCTCGTCAGACAGCCTCGCATTTTGCTTCTGGATGAAGCAACCTCGGCTCTGGATACGGAGAGCGAAAAGGTAAGGATTTGAGTTGAGTCTTTCTCTGCTACAGTAGAGAACGCTGAGCCAGATAGCTGATGGTTGCCTGTGTGGGCTCCCCGTGGAGTTAAAATCTGTCTGCAGCTGAGATTTAGGAGCCCTGCCTGAAGTGATAAAAGGAAGAGTAGTCCTGGGCCCTCTGTGTTCTGTGAAGTCTGCCTGCAAGCTGCATGCTGGCAGCAGTCTGTTCCTGCAGCCTGCATCTCTGCGGCAGCCTGTGAGGAGCTGCAGGGAGACAGGGCCGAGGTCTGGCCGTGCCCTGGACACAGCTGCTTCCAGCTTGAGAAAGGTTAAGAGTCCGCTGTCTGAAAGGCAGATGCTCAGAGGACGTTTCTGCTGCTGCGAATGGCTTTGCCCTGTGCTCCAGCTTCCTGATGAGCTGTGGAGCCGACTGGAGGCCAGCTTGAGGGCTGCTGTGTGGCGAGGGCAGAGAGTGTTTGTAAATGGTAGGATGGACTCTGTTGACTGCCCTTACCTTACGTCAGACTTCTCTTGTCTCAGAACTCATCCAAAGGGGTTAATTTTTTTCTCATGTGTTAGATCCCTCAGTATCTAAACTTTGTTATAGTTCAGTTATACCACTGTATTTCTACCCATTATTATTATTGTTGTTTTCAAGATAGAGTTTCTCTGTGTGCTGTAACTTGGTCTATAGACCAGACTGGCCAAGAATTCAGAGATCTGCCTGCCTCAGAGATCCCTGCCTGAGTTGGGATTGAAGGCATGTTAATGTTTTGTTATAAACATGGGTAATGTTGCGATATTTTATACAGCTTTCTCACTGCACTTTGCTCATATTCACCCCAACTGCTTACTCCTCCATCATCCCATCAAATAGTTCCCTTTCTTTTTTAATTTATTTTTATTGATTTTATTGAGCTATACGTTTTTTTCTTCTTTCCTCCCTGTCTCTCCCCTCCCCTTCAACCTTCTCCCATGGTCTCCGTGCTCCCAATTTACTCAGGAGATCTTGTCTTTTTCTACTACCCATATAGATTAGATCCATGTATGTCTCTCTTCGGTCCTCATTGTTGTCTACGTTCTCTGACATTGTGATTTGTAGGATGGTTTTCTTTGCTTTATGTTTAAAAACCACTTAGCATTGAGTACATGTGATAATTGTCTTTCTGTATCTGGGTTACCTCACTCAAGATGATGTTTTCTAGCTCCATTCATTTGCCTGTAAATTTCAAGATGCCGTTATTTTTTTCTGCTGTGTAGTACTCCATTGTGTAAATGCACCACATTTTCCTTATCCATTCTTTGGTCAAGGGGCATTTAGGTTGTTTACAGGTTCTGACTATGCCAAACAATGCCACTATGAACATAGTTGAGCACATGTCCTTGTGGTACAATTGAGCATCCTTTGAATATATACCCAAAAGTGGTATTGCTGGGTTATGAGGAAGGTTGTTTCCTAGTTTTCTGTGAAATCACCATACAGATATCCAAACAGGCTGTACCAGTTTGCACTCCCACCAGTAATGCAGGAGTGTTCCCTTTTCCCCACAACCTCTCCAGCATAATTTATCATCAGTGTTTTTGATCTTGGCCATTCTTACAGGTGTAAGATGGAATCTCAGAGTTCTTTTGATTTTCATTTCTCTGATGACTAATGATGTTGAGCATTTCCTTAAGTGTCTTTCAGCCATTTTAGATTCCTCAGTTGAGAGATCTCTGTATAGATCTGTACTCCATTTTTTGTTGGGTTATTTATTTTTTTGCTGACCAATTTCTTGAGTTCTTTGTATATTTGGGGGATCATACCTCTATCTGATAGATTAGTCACAGGAAATCAAGAGAAAATCTCAATACAGAACATCTATGCCCCAAATACAAGGGCACTCTCATATGTAAAAGAAATACTTCTAAATCTTAAATCATACATTAAATCCCACACACTAATAGTAGGAGACTTTAACATTTCCACACCAGTTTCTTTCTTAGGTTTCTTAGGTCCATTTGATCGGAAAAATATTTTGCAACTCTACTTTGAGGTGATGTCGGTCTTTGAGGTTGAGGTGTGTTTCTTGAATGCAGCAGAAGGATGCATTCTGTTTTTGTATCCAATTTGTTAGCCTGTGTTTTCTTATAGGTGAGTTGAGTCCATTTATATTAAAGGATATTAATGACCAGTGATTGGTAGTTCTTGATATTTTATTTTTCAGTGTTGGTGATGTTATTGTTTTTCTCTTCTTTGGGATTTGCTGCTGTGAGATCATATGTTGTCTGTGGTTTTGTGCATGTAACCAACTTCCTTGGGTTAAGTTTCCTTCTAGTACTTTCTTTAGTGCTGGGGTTTTGGCTTGGTATTAGTGAAATCTTGTTTTGTCATGGAATATCTTCTTTTTTCCTTCTATGGTGATTGATAGTTTTGCTGGGTATAGTAGTCTGAGCTGGCATCCATGGTCTCTTTATGTCTGCATAACACTTGATCAGGACCATCTGCTTTAATTGTCTCCATTGAGAAGTCAGGTGTAATTCTGTTAGGTCTGCCATTATATGTTACTTGGCCTTTTTCCTTTGCAGCTCTTAATATTCTTTGTATGTTTAGTGTTTTATTATGTGGCTAGGGGAGTTTGATATATATATCCAGTCTGGTGTTCTGTAAGCTTCTTGTATCTTTCTTTAGGTTGGCAAAGTTTTCTTCTATGATTTTGTTAAATATATTTATTTTCTGTGCTTTTGAGTTGAACTTCTTCTATACCTATTATTCTTGGGTTTGGCCTTTTCATGGTGTCCCGTATTTCCTGGATTTTTGGGTTAAGCTTTTGTTAGATTTAATGTTTTCTTTGACTAACAAGTCTATTTCCTCTTGTATCTTCAGTGCTTGGGATTCTCTCTTCCATCTCTTATATTCTGCTGTTTATGCTTGAATTTGTGGTTCCTGATTGTTTTCTCATGATTTCTGTTTCTATAATTTCCTCAGCTTGTGTTTTCCTTATTGCCTCTATTTCAGTTTTCAAGTCTTGAATAGTTTCTTTCTTATGTTTATTTTTTCTTAGTTTTCTTTAAGGGCTTGCTGATGTCTTCCAATTTTTTGTTTATTTTTTCTTCCATTTCTTTGAAGGAATTTTTCATTTTCTCTTTAAGGGCCTCAAATAAGTTAATTTTTAGGTTATTTTCTTCTGATTCACCTATATTTGTTTATTCAAGTCTTGCTGTTGTAGGGTAACTAGATTTTACTGGTGTTGTCTTGCTCTTTGTGGTGTTGCATGTTGGTTACCCATCTTTTCCTCCAATTGGTGTAGTTGGGGCTATCTCACTCTGGTGATCAATCTTCCAGGTTCCAGTCGATCCAAGGCTCAGATGGTTGCTCCTCGTGGTGCAGTCTTTGCCACAGTTTCACTCACCCGATTGGTCACTCCATGTTCCTGGAGGTTGCTCAGTGTTCCTGGGGTTTGCTCTGCTCTGGTGGAGTTTGCTGTCTCAGGCCTGCTCTGGGCTAGGTTGCCTGTTTTCATAAATGTCCCTGGTTGGATTCAGTCCTGCAGATTCCCTGGCTTGGGGTTGGTCCCACAAAGGACTCTGGCCATGATCTACTCCCTTGGAAGTCCCAGACTTGGGTGTTCCTGGACCTGCAGAGGTCCTGGCTCAGGCCTACTCCCTCAGAGGTCCCAAACTCAGCCTGGACCTGTAGAGAGGTTTGGTTCCTGCCTACTCTCTCGGAGGTCCCTGACCAATGCCCAGACCCGCAGAGGTTCTGGCTCAGGTCTACTCCCTCAGAGATCTCTGGCTCCAGCCCACTCCCTCAGAGGTTGTCTCCTGTACCTGCTCCTGTGTAATTCACAGTCCCAGGTGCTACAGCCTAGGTCACAGGCTCAGTCCTGTTTCCGTAAATGTCCCTGGTCTGAATCTGCTCCCACTTACAGAGTTCTCTGTCTCAGTCCTGCTCCTGTGAAGTGCACCATCCCAGACCTGTTCCGGCACAGGTTGCTGGCTCAGTCCTGCCTTTTCAAATGTCCCTGGTCTGGATCCACTCCCACTCCTATAGAGTTCACCATCCCAGGCTCGCTCTGGCCCACTCAGGTCGCTGACTGTTGCAGGCCTGCTCTGGTCCAGATCCCGGGTTCAGTCCTGCCTTCACAAATGTCCCTGGTCTGGATCCACTCCCACTCCCGTGGAGCTCACGTCTCAGGCCCGCTCCATCCTTGGCCGCCCACTCAGCCCTGCTTCCTCAAGTGTCCCTGGACTGGATCTGCTCCTGCTCCCATGGAGTTCACTGTCCCAGGCCCACTCCGGTCCAGGTAGCTGACTCAATCCTGCTTCTGTGGAGTTCACCATCCCAGGCCGGCTTCAGCCCAGGTCACTGGCTCAGTCCTGCTTCTGTGGATTTTGCTGCCTCAGGCCTGCCCTGGCCTAGGTCACTGACTCAGTCATGTTTCTGTAAATGTCCCTGGTCTGGATTCACTCCTACTCATGCGGAAGTCGCTGTCTCAGGCCTGTTCTGTCCTAGGTCACTGGCTCAGTCCCCTTTCTTCTTTCACACGAAAAAATATACATTATACATGTAAGAGCTATAGTTGTTACACCTAGATCCCCACATGAGAGGAAACATGCATTGTTTTGTCTTTCTTACACCTATTGCCTGCTTTTATTTTCCTTTTCTCCCCTTGGCCCTTTCCAACCTCTGTATAACCTCCCTTCTACTTTTATATCATATACACATTTAAATATAAAATCTGTATTTGAAAAAGATACTTGGCATTGGTCTTCTGATTATGGCGTATTTCTTTAAGCATGATACTTCCCATTCCATTTCCTTCAAACGACACGACTTAATTCTCCCTAATGGCCAAATATAACTCCATTGTGTATATGTGCCACATTTTCTTTAGTCATTCACCTGTTCATGTGCACCTAACAGAAATAGTACAGGGTTATAGATATGCACGTATCTCTGGTATTGTGGCTTAGAGCCTTTAGGTACATACTTAGGCACAGCTATAGCTGATTATACGTTTCCCTTTTTGTTTTGATTTCTTCTGCACTGATTTCCCTAGTGGATTTCCCAGTGCTCATTCCCACCAGTAGTGCATCAGGGTCTTACTCTTTTCTTGGTCCTAGCAGCCTATGTTGTCCTTGGTTTGCTTAGTGTCAGTTTCTGACTTCCATGTGACAGGATCAGCAAAGTTTTAGTATGCTTTTTCTGAGAACACAATTAAAGAAGGGCATGGTAGAGAAATCCTGGGGCTGGTTATGGAGGGGATGATAGGAAGATGGCGTTTTTTTTTTTTTTACCTTTTTTTAAACTTATTTATTTATTAATTTATTATGTATACAATATTCTTTCTGCATGTATGCCTGAAAGCCAGAAGAGGGCACCAGATCTCATTACAGATGGTTGTGAGCCACCATGTAGTTGCTGAGAATTGAACTCAGGACCTTTGGAAGAGCAGGCAATGCTCTTAACCACTGAGCCATCTCTCCAGCCCCAAGATGGCGGTTTTTATCCTAACTCTCTTGTGTGACTGGTCAACAGGTGGTCCAGGAAGCCCTGGACAAAGCCAGGGAAGGCCGTACCTGCATCGTGATCGCTCACCGCCTGTCCACCGTCCAGAACGCGGACTTGATCGTGGTGATTCAGAACGGCAAGGTCAAGGAGCAGGGCACCCACCAGCAGCTGCTGGTGCAGAAAGGCATCTATTTCTCAATGGTCCAAACCGGAGCAAAGCGCTCGGGAGCTGTGACTGCTTGAAATATGAAATATTTTTAATGCTGGTGTTTAAATATGGCACCTAACCAAAGTTAAAAAGGTGAATGATGTTAACGGTAATTTCATTGAGATGAGTCTTTGGAAGCTTTGTAATTAAATGAACTGAAATTGAAAAAAATGTCATTGAATGGAGGCAGTGTTTTTAATTGTATTATGTGATCCATAAGAGAGTTTAAAGATTATTTAAATAAAATTTGTTATGATTTAATTTTTAATTTCAATCCTAATTTGTTTATTGATTATAAAAGTTGTAAAAAGTACTGAAATATTCCAGATAGTGCCTATAAAAACTAATTTTTCATATTATTGGAGTCATCTTGTCTATCATGTGTATGAATTTATATATTCTTCCAAATAGGGTGCTGTAAATGATTTCAGGTTTCTAAAAAATGGATTTTTTGTGAGATGGTTACATAATTTAAGTAATTTCCATTCGGGGTATCTTTCACATGGAGACTCACAAAGCCACCTGTTTAGATGCCTCCTGGACTTGGTCTGCTGGTCTTTATATTGCCGTTCCTGGTGGATCTCAAACCCAGCACCCAGGGCAACCTGCAAGTGGGAAAGCAGAGGCAGAGCTATGATGTAGGAGCAGTTCGAAAGTAATGTAACTTTCTTTTATTGCTTTAATAAGGAGCTCTTCAATGATTATTATAATTTTGTAAGTTTAATTACTCCTTGATAACAGTTTGGTCTCTTTCAAAGCTGACCTTCTTGATGGGAGATGTTTACAATGTGCCACAATTGTCAATCTGCCAAGATGGAAACACGAGAAATCAAGAAAATATCACAAAAAGCTTAACCCTAACACAGGGTAAATGCAAGTGAGAATCACAAGCTCTAGGATTCAAGGGCTGTGTTTATCACAGACAATTGATATCTTTAACATATAAAGTGCTCATAAAAAGAAAAAACCTATGGGCAAATGACATGATCAAGTCATTCCCAATGAGAAATGTTATGACAAAATACATACAATTTTAGTAATAAAGAGTACAAGTTAAAGTAGCTGACTTGCTTAGTAACGTCCTGATAAATAGAAAGTATCCTTTCTTTCTTTCTTGACATTTTATGGGTAAATGTTTTTATTGTTCTCTAATATTGTTTTTTAATTTATTTTTTATTTTTTAAATTTATTTATTTATTTATTTATTTATTTATTTATTTATTTATTTTTGGTTTTTCGAGACAGGGTTTCTCTGTGGTTTTGGAGCCTGTCCTGGAACTAGCTCTTGTAGACCAGGCTGGTCTCGAACTCACAGAGATCCGCCTGCCTCTGCCTCCCGAGTGCTGGGATTAAAGGCGTGCGCCACCACCGCCCGGCAAATTTATTTATTTATTAAAGATTTCTCCCTCCTCCCCGCCACCGCCTCCCATTTCCCTCCCCCTCCCCCAATCAAGTCCCCCTCCCTCGTCAGCCCTAAGAGCAATCAGGATTCCAAAAACCATCTTTTCTCATTTTACATGCCAAATCCATTTCCCACTCTCTCCCCTCCTCCTGCTCTCTCCACTGTTGATGGAGGAAGGTCATTGGCTAATAAAGGAACTGCGTTGGCCCATTTTATTGGTTAGAGGATAGGTGGGAGGAGTAAACAGAACAGAACGCTGGGAGGAAGAGGAAGTGAGCTCAGAGACGCCACAGCTCTCCTCTCTGGAGCAGACGCCTGAGAGAGACGCCATGCCCTGCTCCCGGGATGAAGCTCCGACCCAGGATGGACTAGGCTAGAAGCTCCGACCCAGGATGGACTAGGCTAGAATCTCCCCGGTAAGCGCACCTTGGGGTGCTACACACAGATGATTAGAAATGGGCTAAATTAATATGTGAGAATTAGCCTAGAAGAGAATGGGCCAAGCAGTGATTAAATGAATACAGTTTCCGTGTAATTATTTCGGGGCATAAGCTAGCCAGGCAGGCGGCTGGGGTGTTGGGGACGCAGCCCCGCCGCTCTTATTACTACACACTGTCCCTCCAGCTCCATCCCACCCCCATCTACTCTTCAGAGAGGGTAAGGTTTCCCATGGGGAGTCAGCAAAGTCTAGTACATTTCTGCTTTGAGGCAGGACCAACCTCCCTGCCCCATATCTAGGTTAAGCAAGGTATCCCTCCAGAGAAAATGTTTCCAAAAAGCCAGAACAAACAGTAGGGATAAATCCTGGTTTCACTGCCAGTGGCCCCACAGTCTGTCCCAGCCAAACTGTCACCCCATTCAATGGGCCTAGTTTAGTCCTATGCTGATTCCTTTCAGTTCTAAGTTGGAAGGCTTCCATTAGCTCAGGTAAGCTGTTTCCGTGGGTATCACAATCATGGTCTTGATTTCTTTGCTCATGTTCTCACTCCTCCCTCTCTTTGACTGGACTTTGGGAGCTCAATCCAATGGTCCTCTGTAGTTCTCTGCATCCACTTTCATCAATTGCTGGATGAAGATTCTATGATGACATTTAAGATAGTCATCAATCTGCATATGGGGCAAGGACAGTTCAGGTACCCTCTCCACTTTGCATAGGGTCTTAGCTGAGGTCATCCTTGTGGATTCTTGGGAATTTCTCTAGTCCTAGGTTTCTTGCTAGCCCTATAATGGCTCCCTCAATCAAGATATCTCATCCCTTGTTTTCTGTCTCTGCCCTTCACCCATCTTGACCATCCTGTCCCCTCTAGTTCTCCTCCCTACTCCCCTTCTCTCGCCCTTCTACCCTCCTTTCTCCCCCACCCCCATACTCCCAATTTTGTCATGAGCTCTTGACTACTTCCCCTTCCTCTTCCCATGGGCATCTATGTATGTTTCTCTTAGGGTTCTCCTTGTTACTTAGCTTCTCTGGGGTTGTAGACTATAGGCTCCATAACCTTTGCTTTACTGCTGGTATTCACCTATGAGTGGGTACATATCATGCTCATCTTTCTGAATCTGGGTTATCTCACTTGGAATAGTTTCTTCTACTTCCATTTGTTTGCATGAAAAATTAAAGATGCCATTTCTTTTTACTGTTGAGTAGTATTCCACTGTGTAAATGTACCATGTTTTCTTTTTTTTATAAATTTATTATGTATACAATATTCTTTCTGCATGTATCCCTGCAGGCCAGAAGAGGGCACCAGACCTCATTACAGATGGTTGTGAGCCACCATGTGGTTGCCGGGAATTGAACTCAGGACCTTTGGAAGAGCAGGCAATGCTCTTAACCGCTGAGCCATCTCTCCAGCCCTGTTTTCTTTATCCATTCTTTGGTTGATGGGCATCTAAGTTGTTTCCAGGTTCTATTATTACAAATAATGTTGCTATAAACATAGTTGAACAAATGTCCTTGTAATATGGTTGAGCATCCTTTGGGTATATGCCCAAGAGTGGTATTGCTGGTCTTGCAGTAGGTTGATTCCCAATTTTCTGAGATACTACCATACTGATTTTCAGAGTGGTTGTACAAGTTTGCATTCCCACCAGCAATGGAGGCGTATTCCCCTTCCTCTGCATCCTCTCCAGCATAAGCTATTATTGGTGTTTTTGAGCGTCAAATGTTGCTCTAAGAAAAGCAAACATCCCTACCACTCTCAAGAATGATGGAGGTGAGATGACACTTGGTAAACTTTAAAGCTCATTGTAAGGGGCTCTGAAAATATCCTATGAATTATCACTTTAAGAAACACTGAAGAGTGACTCAGAAATGTCTGCCATTTCCTTAAAATAACTATTAAGTTTATTTTGGGTGAGTAGTGTATGCCACAGCACACGGGTAGAGAAGACGGGAAAATATCTACAAGTCACATATTTACTTTCTTTCCACCTTGTGGGTCTTGACGATTAAATTCACACTATCAGATTGAATTCAGGCTATCAAGTTTGGTGGTGTCTTTACTTGATGATTAAATTCAAACACATAGGCATCCTCATGAATATTAACCTTCATCAGGCGATGAAAGGAGACAGAGACAGAGACCCAAATGGGAACACCGGACAGAAATCTCAAGGTCCAAATCAGGAGCAGAAGGAGACGGAGCACGAGCAAGGAACTCAGGACCATGAGGGGTGGGTGCACCCACACACTGAGACAATGGGGATGTTCTATCGGGAACTCACCAAGGCCAGCTGGCCTAGGTCTGAAAAAGCATGGGATAAATCCGGACTAGCTGAACATAGCGGACAATGAGGAATACTGAGAACTCAAGAACAATCGCAGTGGGTTTTTGATCCTACTGCACGTACTGGCTTTGGGGGAGCCTAGGCAGTTTGGATGCTCACCTTAGGAGACCTGGATAGAGGTGGGTGGTCCTTGGGCTTCCCACAGGTCAGGGAACCCTGATTGCTCTTCGAGCAGATGAGGGAGGGGGACTTGATCGGGGGAGGGGGAGGGAAATGGGAAGCGGTTGCGGGGAGGAGGCAGAAATCCTTAATAAATAAATAAATAAATAAGAAAGTCAAATGAAAAAAATAAATAAATTCACACTATCAGAGTGAATTCAGGCTATCAAGTTTGGTGGTGTCTTTACTTGACGATTAAATTCACATTATCAGAGTGAATTCAGGCTATCAAGTTTGGTGGTGTCTTTACTTGCTAAGCTATCTCCCTTATCTTACGCACTATTTCTGTGCTAAGCTATCTCCCTTATCTCACGCACTATTTCTGAAGTCAAACAATTTTAGTATAGATATATAAGTTAAAGTAGTTTTTTAAGTCAAGCTTGGTCCTGTATGAATCCAAGTCCTGGGGAGACTAAGGAAGGAAGTTTGTAAATTCAGACCTGCCTAGACTCTGTTTCAGAATGAAAGAAGGAGCTGGGTGTATTAGCACATGCTTTTAATACCAGTAGAGCTGAACAGATCTCTGACTTCTAAGACAGCCTGGACTACAAAGAAAGTTCAAAGACAGCTATGGATACACAGAAAAGCCCTGTCTTCAGGAAAAAGAGGAAGAAAGAAAGGTTGACAAAGGTAGTGGGAGAAAGAAAAAGGGTCTTGGGAGATACTTTAGTCACTAAAGTGGCTAACATGCAAGCAGAAGGCCAGAGTTCAATCCCCATCACTCCACAGGAAGCTTGGCATGGTGGCACATGCATATAATCCATGCTGGGAGACACAGATAGGATGGTCCCTGACACTTGCTGCTCAACTAATCTAACCAAATCAGTGAGCCCTGTGTCTCAGTGAGAGACCCCATCTCAAGACAAACTAGACAGCTCCTAAGGAATAACATTTAAGGTTGACATCTAGCTTCTATTTGCATGTGTGTTTACACAGGCACACACACATATCCATATACTCACATATTCACCAGCAAATGCAT